AGAATGGCGACCTTGTTTCCAGAGGCAGCCATGCGGGTTAACCGGCCGGCGGAACCCTTGAGCTGGGTCGACATAGACGAGAAGGTCTCGGACTAGATGGGGCCATGATCGTCAGTGAACCATCTTGAGAATAGCCTGGAGATTCGATAGACAGAATATGGGTAGAATGGTAGGGGGTCAGAGTTGCACAAAGTGCTGGTTCTGTCGTCAAATAGCAGGTCTTGAGGCTGCCTCCGAAACACGGACCAATGTTCCTCATCATTTAATACCAAGAGATTTTGCCAACGGAATATCGAAAAAGGGGGTTTCGGGGAAGGAGGGTGATGCGAAAGAGAGAACGAGGAAACATACTGTGCTGTCAATGACTTCGTGAGCGCGCGCATTGTCGTAAATGTCGACGGTCACACCTCTGAGGGCGGAGACCTTTGCCGAGAGCTCGTCGAGACGGGCGTTGTTTTGGCGTTCGCGCTCGTAGGCTTCTGACATTTTCGCAAGATTTTTGTCTTCTTAAGGGGAATAGGGGTGATGAATTTTCTTCAATGGGACTTGATGGGAACCGGTGGGGGCGAAGCAAATCCCTAGGTGCGGAAGTACGGATTGTTTCCTGAATCCGTTTCCCGCCGCTGAGGCTTATGTCGAGTTGCAACGCGCGCGAGACCGTCGGTCTCTGTAGATGGTGTGTGATTGCAGTCGCGGAGAAGTGACTATGCCACGGTCTAACGCTGCACTATTCCTCCTCGGTATGATGGGGGATCTTCTGAGCAATGACAGCTTCGTTTGGGTAGAATAAACGTCAGATGTGGTGCGCAGTGGTTTGTGGGTTGGAATTCGTGGTTCGTGAGGTTTGATGATGAAGTTGCGAAAATGGCAGATTCTGGCGGCGAACCGAATGACGATGGAGGTTTCGGGGGGCCGGTGCGTCTTTCCTCACAAAGGCGAGGCTGGAGCAGCGCGGATGGAACTGGAGCCGGGCGGGCCAGTCCAAACCCAGTCCCGTCCCGGCCAGTGCTTTCCCTGCCAAAGAAAAATAAAAGTGACATTGTCAGCAGGTGGTCACTGCACGGCCGAGGCGTCGCTGCTGCCCACTTGGCCACTGGTGTGGGCTCGCGGCCGCGCTGCTCGGAACGCCATCCTTGCCGGTGGGGGTTGCGCGTCAGTGGCCTGCGCCACACTGGCGCCGAACCCGAACAGACAGAAGTACCCCGCGAATTACCTCACTCCGTTCAGGTCATGCCTCCGTTGCGCCTCACCAGAGCCCAGCTTACACCAAGCTCCCCCCGGTCCTTGGTCCGTTTCTTGGATTTTTTGCTCCGGCCATCCCAGCCCGGAGATAATGAAGGGGCACATCACCTGGCTCTCGAGAAAAGTGTTAATGATTCGAAAGCTACGGTACTGCCAGCTGAGATGACGCGCTCGAGTGGATGTTGACGAGTTACTGCGCTTCGTTTGTTTGATGAACCTGCGTCGTCCGATACGAGAGTTCGGCTGAAAAGCCATGAAAGCTTAAAAAAGAAGCAAGAAGCAGCAAGGAAAAAACAATTGATGCCCTTTCTCCTCCTTCCTGGCACAATTTTCATCCGCCAAGCCCAACGGGAGTAATAAGATTAATAAGACGTGCCCAAGAAAACCACTACCAGGAGAAAAGCAAAGCACAGCAAAGCTCCCGGCACATATCAACCGACGAGGGAAAGAAGAGGCGCAGGCCTCTCGGCGGCTCTCATCTTCACCTATCGCGGCACAACCCCACTAAATCGTTAATTACGTGGAGGTGTGGGTGCACGCATCTGCTGTGGGAACCGTGGGCGACGAAGGATCCCCAAGAAACCGTATCCGTACCTACCTGACCTACCTAATCGCAATCCCAGGCACACGCTTTCACCTTTTCGTGTCTCTCTTTCTTCTTTCCCTCTCTTCACCTCAATCCTCGACACCGTTTTTTTCTCCTCTCCTCCTCCCCGGCCGATCCTCGAGGAAACAAATTCCGACTGAATCGTACTCCCTCTCTCTCGATCCCTCGATACACCGTCAGCATGGGCCTCCACAACCCGCTCCCGTCATCTATGGCGTGTAAGTCCACCTTATTTTTTCTGGCTGGTGCCGGTGATCCCGCTGCAGCGCCGCACCCCGTCATCCTGTTCAGTCGCAACAGATGAGCTGACCAGACCCTAACAGCGGAATGCAAAAAGTGCGGCAAGATCCTGACGTCGTTTATCGACCCTCGTCAAGCCTTCAGTCCCGACAAGATCATTCCTCCCTCCGTTCTGGCCAACGCGAAGGTGAGCAATATTTCCCACCCCGCGATCAGCCATCCCCCGCCTGCCTTGGCGCATTCAATGTCTAGAGGCCTCCCACCGCTCACGACAACACTCCCCCAAGCCGAGACAATACTAACAGATATTGCGTGTACTTAGGGTCTCGCGATTCTCACCGTTCTCAAGGCCGGTTTCCTCGGTTCCGGTCGCTTTGGTAGCGGTCTCGTCGTCTCCCGACTTCCCGATGGATCATGGAGTGCGCCAAGCGCCATCGGTACGGCAGGTGCGGGATTTGGTGGACAGATTGGGTTTGAGTTGACCGACTTTGTCTTCATTCTCAACGATGCGAGCGCCGTCAAGACGTTTGCGCAGGCTGGTTCGCTTACGCTCGGGGGAAACGTCTCAATCGCCGCTGGTCCCGTGGGCCGCAACGCCGAGGCCGCGGGTGCCGCTTCGCTGAAGAGTGTTGCCGGTATTTTCTCCTACTCCAAGACCAAAGGTCTCTTCGCCGGTGTTTCGCTGGAGGGTTCCGTTATCATCGAGCGCCGCGACGCCAACGAGAAGCTTTACGGCACCCGCTACACCGCTGCCCAGATCTTGACCGGCAGCGTCCGCTCCCCGCCCCAGGCCGCGCCCCTGATGAATATCCTCAACTCCCGCGCCTTTAATGCCGGTCGCACCGGCCAGGCCAACGATACCATGTACAACGACGTTCCCGTTTACGACCAGGGCCAGGGCCAGGACGATTGGAATGGCAACAACAGCCGAGAGTTTGGAAACAACAACCGCAGCAGTGTTTTCGGTGGCGGAGATAGTGGCGCCAGCGAGTTTGGTGGACCCAAGAGATCCAGCACATGGCAGGACGACGTATACGACAGACCTGCTGGAGGTGGTTTTGGTGGAGTTTCGCGTTCCAACACAGGAGTCTCGCGTTCCAACACATTTGCCTCAAGAGGCAACGACGACTACGTCTACAGAGACAACCCATCGCCCAACTTCGGCCTCAATGACCAGAAGACGGGTCCTCCCGGTAGACCAGCTGCGCCGAAACCGAACTTCAATGGCAAGGCGGCCATGCTCAAGAAGAACGAGGCCGTTGCGCTCTTCACATTTGATGCCGACCAGCCCGGCGACCTGGGATTCAAGAAGGGCGATGTTATCACGGTACTGAAGAAAACTGAGAGTGAGACCGATTGGTGGTACGTGAAAGGGTCTTTCTCCATCTTGCAGGTTCAAAGCTGACATTCACAACAGGACTGGCATGATTGGAACAAGACACGGCATCTTCCCCAGCAACTACGTGAAGATGCGTGAGTAAGCTTATCCGACGGCTTGAACGCAAACCCAGTGCAAATTTGAATACCCAAATACTTGCAGTTTGAAGCATGACCGAAATCAGATTGCATACCTGATGCAAATACAAAGGGGATGGTGGAGGGAAACAGACGTCACCACAAGGTCCTATTGCTTATTCATGATACTCCGGATGGCCCTTTACCATCCTGTTTTTCCCAACGACGTCTTTAATGATAACGACCAAACCTCGTTTTAACAAGTCCTGGCGTTTGGATCCAAGGAGGCGTGGGAAGATATTTCTTCTTGTTGAATTGTCTCACAGCATAAACGTCCATCATTGGCTTTGGGAAAACGAAAAGAACAAATCCGTCTTATGACATAATCTAAATGCACTTTGCACAGATACTCTGATGTGACAAATCCATGCATGATGAAAGTGATGGTGGCACAGACGTGGTCAATGGCAATGACCACATGCGGACCGGACCGGCTTTGGATGTACGATTCCGGGGAGCCTACCCCGTTACGTAGTCGTGGAATGAGCCGAGGCAGTTCCAAACACATCAAAACAACACAGGTCAACAGGTGGGTATCAGAGCCATGATGTCAGGAAGGATCGACGCTTGCCGCTTGCCGACGGGTAAGAAGCAGGGGCAACTTGTTTCAGTGGTCCTTGAGACGATCTGGGGAAAGCTTGTCGATGCGGGTTGAAACGTTGTTTTTGGGAAGCTGGCTTTTTGCTGAGTCAGGAGGTGTCTGGTAAAGCAACTTCATTCCTTCACAAAGCTACACTCGATGGTAATGTAAGGTAATCAACATCCACTCAGACTCTGAGAGTAGTCATACAGTAACTACTTTGACTTGGAATTTGCGACGTAAGCTCCAGCTCCTTGAGCCTAGGTAGTAGGCGTTCAGGTTGCTCCAACACTGATACTAAAGGTCAATGGCACTATCATATCCAGTCAAATCAACTCATAGATTGCAGAGCGCTTTAAAGCCTTGAACAGGTTGCTTCAACGATGCTCACGAAGCCGTAGTCTGCCTGGTTTCTCCTAATGATAGTGCCACGAGGCAGAAACGGTATCATCACTCGTCAGACACTGTACCGTGGGCTTTATCACGTAGACAGTACATTCTTTCAGTATGTAGACTGTTCTCTTTTCTTTGTTCTAGATGGGTTGGTTCAAGCCACTTCTAACCCACCTCATTTGCCCATTGCTGTATGCCATAACTCGTGACAGATACCTTGTCTCTTGTGAAGCACGAGGTACTTCATGTGATGAGAGATCAAGCTCGAGGGTTCTTGTTTGATCAACCTCACCCCTAGAGCAATTCACTGGTCTCAGCGGAGTCAAAGTCAGGTCACGGCTCGACTCGACAACGTCATCTAGACGACGCCTCGATAACGGGCACAGATGGACAATCCAGTGAAAAGAGCGTGGTAATACGGTCCCTGGCGGTGCTACTTGTTCACCCTCAGGACTTTCCTATTACTTGATACACCTTCACCATGCGTCTTTCTCCTTGAACCCTTCAGTAGCTTACCGAATCAACAAAATACAACAACGCCCATATCAACAGTCTATAACTCAACCTTCAACCCGGATCCGAAGGATCTGCCGGAATCAATACCGACTCTATTAGAAAAACAGGCAGCGTGAAGAGACTCAATCCAGCTGATGGGGTGCCCACAGGACCGAATCTGTACCTTGAACGTGGTACCAGTTCTGTGCATCTTGGCTCCAAGTCCAGAATTTGTGGGATGGGTCCGACTCAAACTCTTGCTGCACCGGTCCGATGCGAGTTTCAGACTTCGCCACGGCGACGTCTTTCGAAAGTATCTGTGTGGCTGCAGTCGATTTCCCCCTCGCTGCTGCCAAAGTAGCACTCGTACATCCTAATCGATACCCAGAAGTTGTGCTGGTATGTGTCGTATCGTTTGTTCGGGATGAGAAAGAGCCGATAGAGCTGGGGCCATGGCCGCAGGATTCCGACGTTGAAGTATTGCTAGTTGGTAGAGTGGCTGATGGCTTCGGACGGGGAGATGTATGGGTTTCTTCCTTACTCTCGTGGTCCATTCGTTCTGTTTTGGCTGCTTGTGGTGGACTTCGAGGTGTTTGTTTCTCGTCGTTGGAACATCTGTTACTGGTCAATTCGTCTGCTGCTCCGAGGGGACTATAGGCTAAATATACAGATGTTTAGGCTGACTCAGACACAGTTACTTGATGTCGCAGTAGAGTGCCATACGTCAGCTCGTGAATGTGGTTTGTGAATGTTGGCTTAGATAGTGGGGGGGGGGGGGGATGAAATAGTTTCTGTGGAAATCAAGCTGTTTAATAAGAAGAAAAAGACTGAAAGAATCTATAGTCATAGAACGAGAGAATGACTACCTACCTCGCCTCATTCTTAAGTTCCATCCTTTGATATTTATAGCGATAGGTATTCTTATCAAGGCCGAGTCTATCTGATGGTGCCTCATAAATTTCGACAGGATACAACTCCGCAAGGTATGTCTACCAAGGCAATGGGGCTGGCAAGGGTTGCCTAGGAGAGGCATAAGTGTTGAAGAATGCTTGCCAAATTGTATAAGCACTCTTCTAGCCGCTGTCGAGCGTACTTTGGCAGTTCTCAATCAGCTTCAGATCTGTCCCATGATGCTAGACGAACGTCAACTTGGAATGGATGGTGCTGCAAGGTACTTTCTTTGAGGCCGCTCTGGATTCTTAATATGTCCTTACGGGGCAACTGCATTTCGGACTCGCTGCATGAGAGCCAATCCACATCGACACAGCACTTGTTGCGTGAGTGTATCAATAGATTCACAGCAGGGTCAGATTGGGGGCCTGGCGGCTATGTGGGAAGATCAAGAGCCTTCAACACGCCACCGGTGGCCGTTCGTACCAAGACATCCGTCCCTAGCCGATTCGGTGAGGATCATCTGTAATTACAATTTTGGAGATTCTTCATGGGGTGGACTGAGTTGTTCTACCGGGGAAGCATGCCTGCTGATCCGCTTGACATTCTACCAGGTTTCTCTTTGGAATTTCGGACGTTCCGATGCTCCGCCAACATTGATGTCACCCCAGCATTGCTGCCCTAACTGCGTAGGTTACTTATCAGGCTCCTTTCCGCTCCTCAAGACGAAGGTGACACGGGTCAAAACTTAGCTTGGTCGCCTACTCACTTGCTTCCCTTGGGTTGCCAGTGAGAGGCCCAATAGTACCTTGCATAGTCACCGAACAGCCTCGTACTTGGGTTTTGTTTAAGGCGGTGGGGGGAGAGGCGGAGTAGTTCGCAAACAAATGTGGCACTGCAATTACTTGTTTACAGAGTTACCGTCATCAGCACCGCGATTGGCAACTTACATTACCTACCTAAACTCCGCCACAGCGATCTTATTGTACTGAGCATCAGTCAAGACATAAACGGTCGATACGTCCACAAATTCCAATTGTAAACCTACCTGGAGAGCACGCCCCCTTGTGCAACCATCCTCTCCAAATCCAAATAATTGAAACCAAAGCCATCTTCGTTCTATTCTTAAATCATCATTTTTACGGACTTTGTCTGTAGCTCCCGTTCAACAACGGACTTTAAACCCGTAAGGCTCATCAAGTACGACGACAACAAACACGAAGCCAGCAACAAGACCGAGCCTCCAACGACGACGCGACGACAAGCGAGCCATCCCGAAACAACACAGGTATTATTGCCTATACATTCATGCAACTTTCTACGTCAGCTTAGGGGGGCGCACACAGTTCCTGCCCTCATTGTCTCATGTTGGGAGCGAAGGATTTTGGACCAACAGAACAGTGTCAGCTATCAACCAAACTGATAAAACGGGTGCGGGATGCCTCCGATACCAAACGCCAATGGAGCAATAGGTTCACCGACAACTATATCGAGCCGTGTGTCAGACCAAGATGATGAAAGTCAGAATGACTTGGAGTCTTCCGATACAGGGTTCAATATCCCATACAATTTCATCGCAAGAGACAGCCGGGGAATATCCCATCTGCGAGTCGCGATGCACGAGCACAGCAGGATGCAATCCGGTGTTACCCGCAAATTCGTCGAAGACATGGGCTACACAACTTTACCTCTTCCGCCGACAATACGTTGCCAGTCGCGCGAAACGGCCTATGGACTACCTCTATTCGAAGAATTCGTTTCTCTAGAAGTCCTTGGGACTTTACCTGATACATCAGTCATTCATGTCGGAGTATTGGCCGATGAGCAACAACCGGACAGCCCCGACATCTATATCTGCGCAAAAACACAGCAAAAAGTCATCCGCATACTAGAACTTTCCATGGCACCTCAGGGAAGTCTTCGTGGTGATAAGCCCTGCGGGGAAACATCCAAGAGTCTCAGCAAGCCATCTTTTACACCGACCGAAACGAAGAATGAGAAGGAGAACCAACTGGTGTCTGCTACTTATGGTAGCAGCTGCCAAGACTGTGGACCCGCCACCCTACCTCAAGATGCAGAATCGGTCGACGATGCTATCTCGGACGCGATACAAGAATCGATGCTGGACCTTCCAGACTCTCGCAGTGGACTTGGAAGCGCCGCAGTCTTCACATCCCGGGGTCTACCTCAGTCTTCGTCACCAACAACGATTGAGCCATGGGAGGCATCCTCCTACTACTCTAAACAGAAACAGTCTATTAATCCAGGGAAATTGGTGTCGCAAGAGCCCATTGATAATCTGGTGTCGAGAGAATACGCGTCTCAAGCACGTCGTATCTGCGTCGATGCCCCTGACGTCTGCTGATGTCTATTGTGTGCGTCAACACGGTCTCTTGGAGTTTTGTACGATTTTCGGTGTTTTGGTGTTTTGGCGTTTTCAATATTCTTCATTGACTTGCACAATAGTATTCGAACTATTTTTCTAGTGATCATCTCTTCAGTTCACCTCCATTCGTGTTAGATCGACAGAGGGCGTGGAGCATAGCACTCAAGGGCATTGCTAGACCTGTAGATATAAACATGCATGCTGTATATGCTCGACATCTCATCAAAAGAGTAGACCACTGTTTCAATGGGCTCAGAGGTTGAGAGGTCTTCGCAGAGTTGAGAAGCAACTTGTTAACGGAACCGCACTTGAGAATCGGTATTGTACACCTCTTTTAGACCAAGGTATCTCGTATTGGGGGACCTTTAGGACTTGAAATAACACCAGAGCTTTGATGATCAATGCATTCGTCAGTATCTTCGCGAACTGTGTTCGCTAAATTCTCGAAATCAATTTCAAGGTTGTTTATGTAGCTGACTTCTTGCTGAGCCAGGAAGCATCCAGCAGGGAGACTTCACCCTAAGTGATTCTAGGTTTAGGAAGGGGCGAAACTTATATCCGGTGTCCTTGCGAAGAATGTATCAGTCCGGGGACAATTGAGACAGCGGCACGCTTCTTTGAGTGTAACTTAAGCTGCGTTCCCTTCATTGATGCTTGACGACGAAGTGGCGCAACATGGACTGAGGGCTGACGCTGGAGGTAGTTCTAGACGGAGACTGAGATGGAAACGATGGAATAGGCACTTGCGGAAGGTCCTCTTCTCTTTCGCTAACATTATTTCCCATGCCTCTTTGGCCTTTAGTAAGAGTTGTGGGCATAGAAAACATACCTTCCGAAGGCCACTTGGCCAAGTGGCTTCAATCCTACCCTGGTTCTTATCTCAACCGGGTAACTGTTCTCGGGGAAGACACGCTTTGTATTGACAGTGTCCTTAGCTTTAACAGTTGCGGATACCTTATCTTCAAGATGTAACTAAACAAGCGTGCACTGGTCCAATTTGCCCTTTGCTACTAATAAGCCCAAAACCCTCTCCAACGTGTCACTGCCGAGATCACCTCCCTCAATCTAACTTGCCCGCATAGACGACACCATTCCAGGCATTAAGAGCTGCCTTGCTGTCAGTGTTTGGTAGTAATCTGACGAGTCACCTCATTCGCTCGTCGTCTCCTTCGCCAGGCGAGGTTCCTGGCTCGAGGACACCAAGGGAGTCGTTGATGGGGGCCAGATGTTCACATTGCGAGGAGTTGTATGAATCTCGGGACCGGTCCAGTCCAAAGGTAGAAGGGGGAGACGACCCAGTGTTGCCACCGGTTGTGAAGATTGGCGTTGCACCTAGTCCGCTAGTGGATCGGGAACGGCCGGCGGCTGGCTCCACTAACGTCAACTCGGTGGCTCGGAGACTGAGGTCCGCATCGGTAACTGGCCGACCCACCTGGCGGCCGGCAGGTCCGTGATTGATTGAATTCCGAATCGCCGCAAAGGTTTCACTGCTAATGAACTGTCGCGTTGGAGACCGAACTTCTACTCTTTCAGGAGGAAGCGCGGGTACGTCCTCATCCATTTTGAGCTGCTCTCTTTCAGGAATATTGTTGGTAGGCGCTGAATGCGGCCTAACTTCCGCATCTTGCTAGAAAGATTGATGCCGAGGAAAATCCCAACTTCTTGCCAGCCGTATTCCGGGCCAAGCACGGCAACATTGACGTCCATTTCAGGCACGTTAGCCTCAGGCATTCGAACTGTGAAGGAGGCGAAATCTTCCAGCATAATGATACCGAAAGGTGTATGGAAGAGCCGTCTGTTGTGGGTTGGGGATAGCGGTAGCTTGCGAAGTCCAAGGGTAGCCACAGTGCTAGAACTAGCGTAGGAGTAATCGAGGCCAGTACTGGCCGCGAGGACCGTTTCGAATAAGCCTTGGTCATTTTTTGCTTCCATACTAATGAAATGCTGGGGAATTAAAGACTCCAAGTCCGGCATTGGACGGAAGTGCGACCCTAGTACGCTAACAGATCCGGACCTTGAGGGAGTTCTTCCATCATCCCTGCTAGGTGGTGGCTGGCCTGCCGGCATTGATGGTAGTCCATGGTGGGCTTCGTTCAGCTGGTGGCCGTAACTCATTGTGTCAATGTCGATTTTTACAGTGTTCGCTCAAAAGTCCCAATCTTGTCGCTCGAGGTTCGTGGTTTTGATTCAGTTTCGATTGGGCACGTTTCGGAGTCGCGAGGTTTATGAATCTAAAGTCGGTAGAAGTCAGATATCAAGACGTTTTCACGTTGGAATTCGACGAACCTAGATATATTTGATATTATTAATAAAACTGTCTTTTTGAAGGGAGTTAGTACACCAATAGTGTATCAAAAGAGCGAATTGAAGCGAATATTATCGGATATGGACGTGCAATAAGACCAAGCTCTTCGGAAAGTCGCACAATTTAGGTGGCACGCTCTTCATGTCGGTAGCCTCCGATTGAAATTGAGCGAGCTATAAGCTCGAGGCAAGACTCTTGACCTCCATGATGGCGAACCACAACCGAACCACGAAGAAGGCGAACCATGAAGACGGCGAACCATGAAGAAGGCAGCCGCGAGGAGGGGACTAGGCACACGACGAATACCTGGTGAGGCTGCAACAGATGAAGGCCTGTACACTCAAGAAAGTGAGGAGTGGTGCTCGAATACGCAGGGTACTTTCGTGATCAAACAAGTTGTTCCTACGAATGAAAAGCAGCTACGCATGCAATGCACCAGCTTGACCCATCCGTCACATCTAGTGGAATTTCAATCCTCGGGCTATGCATGACCGATTGTAATTTCGACACCGCTCTGTTCAAAATATCGGTGAATAACAGGCTTCACACCGAGTCAACCCGGAGCCTGCATGGTGAAGTGCAAATTTGGTGTGACCCCACACTGAACCACGGTTCGTGTTGCCCACGACAACACACTCATTGAAGAGGCCTGACTACAAAATCGAGCCATTCATGTATCAACACAAGGCGAATTGACGGGCGTAATTGATGTTATCAAAATTACGTAGGTTGATTTGCTCGCTCCGAGCCTAATACCCCTCAACATGCACGCTGCACTGCGTGCCCCGTTCGATGTAAGCACCGCACCTATGGGGGTGGGAGTATCCTACCTTCATCCTTGTGATATCTTATACGTCTTTCTGAATCAATACGCATTCCGGCTTGAGAAGGCTTTGATGGGCCACCAGTCGTCGCGGAGGCCGGATAGATACCGACACTCGGCTGGACTGACCATTCTCGTCTGCGGATCACCAGTAGCCCTGGAACAAGATTGGATGCCGAGATGTTGTGCCATTGAATGACACTGGTCAGATGTCTTTTGTGCAAATTCAGATCATGCTGTTAACATCCTCAATTCTCAGCTTGTGTTGTTACTCTGACGTCCGTTGTTTACCCAATGTCGATTACTAGAACATCCAGAGTTCCATGAAAATTGGCGAAGCTCTTCCTTTCTATTATCCGGGTCGGCGAGGGCTCAATTGAGTATCTCTCCACAGCTGTGGTTCACTGAATACCTCACTTCCCACCCACCGACAAACCTGTGAGTACCAAGATCCGCGTGCATCCAGCCAACAGCTTGTTAAGTAAGCGTGTGATGTAGAAGGATCATCTCGACATTTTCCAACAAGTCCACCGACACACAGACTAATGGACAATAGGCTTGGAGCTCAGTCAGTCAGTGACAAACAGCCAAGTGCGTCCAAGTCTGATACCCATTTGCCACGGAATGGCACTTGGCAGTCAGGGACATCTGGAACATCAGGAACATCGTCACGACGCAATGGGTATTCTTCTCCAGTATCATTTTCTGGGACAGAAGCGACTATCCTGGGAAGTTTCGAGTCCTTTGCACCTCTAGCTGCACGTTCACAGCTGTCCGAAAAGGTTCCAATACGCCCATCGTCTCCAGCAACACTCGTACCCGGAGAGTCGGCAGAACAGCAAGACGGGCAGGTAACTGGGACCAATGAGACCGAAAAGCTGATCAGCCCCAGTCAGGAGGACTTTGAGATGGACCCGGGCCATGCATTTTGGAGCTGGTCTGTGAAGAATGAAAATTGGTATCATGTCGATAAGCACACAGGATCGGTTCTCTGGGCACCACGCGAATTAGACTAGTTCTGGCCCAATTCATTTCGTATTTTGTGTGAGAGTTGACTTCTCGTGTTCTAGCGATGAACACAATCTTATGTCTCTCGACATATGTTCCTCTTCTTTCTCTTCAGGACTACTCATAGAGTAGCGTACGAACCATCACGGATCTCAGCCTGATGAACTGAAGGATTAGCTGTCGCTCGGATGTGTACTGATAAAGAAGCATGTGCAAAACCGACAATGGATCCGAAGAAGTTTTAGAGTCTCTCAGTCTATTTCGGACTAGATAGTGAGGAATCTTAGGACGTGCTCTATGGCGTTCTCCCGGCACTTCTATCTCTTCGCCAGACAGACCACCAGGCATGAGACGCTGATATACTGGACCTGAGAGGCCTGTGGATGTAGAAGGGCTTTATTTCACCGTGTCTTACGATACGCTGGATGTGTGGGATGACTTATAGCTCAGTCATCATGGGAACGGATAAGTAAATGAAGGCGGACTACGAGCAAATGAACCATGGCATGGGATAAGTGACTCTCGAGAGATTGTGCGAAAGCTGCAAGGACAGGTAGAAGCACGCGTGCTATCATGATCTGAGTTTGAGCTAGGAAGCATGTATCTTATCAAGAAAAGTTGTAAGCGGAAAGAATTTGCCAAGAATACAATGCAAGCAATACGCCTCTATCCGGCTCAAGCTTAAATGATTCAATCAAGTTCGTGGAATCAAGAGAACGCCTAGTTTCAGCTACAAGTCATGCGAAACAGATGCCGACTTCGATACGACCCTCTAAATTAATATTCCCAGTGTATCAGGGCCCTGGCGATTCTAATCCAGCTCTACTGGACAATATATCACTGATTTGGTGTCTTCATCCTGATGGGACCATTGTTGCAAGGTCTCATCCCACTTCCAGAACTGGTGAGCCGGATCTTCCGTAAAATCTTTGAAAGACTCACTGGTTTCCCAGCTGAGGTCGTCGAGGGAGCTAATGTCTACATCTCCTGCCTCGTTATTGCCATCGCATAGCTGCAATTGGCCAGCTTGTGCTGTTTGATGGAGCTGGAGCGCTTCTAATTTCGTCAGAAGCTGAGTGTCGTCACTCGGATAGTTTGAAGGTCGACTTTCTGAGAAGATAGAGCATGGTGTAGACAATTGAGTTTGTTGACAGAACTGATCAAGTACTGGGCTCAACCCGCCTAGCTGGTACTCGCAGTCCCTTTGCAGAAAAGACGACAAGCTGAGATCAGTCTTGCTTTCCGTGACCGAAGACGTTAAAGAACAGACTTGATCCTGGGATAAGACACTTTCTTCGGACCCTGAAAGCTTAGGTTCGGAGACCCAAAAGGATTTCCGCCAATGAGTCGTTAACTCAGGCGGAATGAGAGGAACTCTCGGTGATTCGCGTTGTTTGTGGATTTCAGTTGATGAAGAAGGAAGTGGCTCTTCCCACTGCGTTTGTGGAGGGCGTGTAGGACGTTGAAAGTCAGATGTCAGAAAGTCTCGGACGTCTTCCGCACAATACGTCATGGTGGCTATGGACCAGCGTCGACTAGTTTTTCAAGAATTGATTAGGTGCTGACTGTAGGTAGTAGACCATACGACTGCATTGAGGTAGAATGCGAAAGGAGAGAGGCCATTGGTGGAAGTTATGAGATGATCCACGAAGTTGTTGAACCCCCAGGACATTTATGTCGGGAAGCATTCGGCGCGGCTCATATAGGTATTCAACAAAGAACTTACCATCAAAAGTTCGGTGAGAGTCCGTGAATGAGGCTTGCGCGGTCGGTCTTCCTCGCGGCTCTGATCGTCGGACTCATCGGGGTGAGTCGTTCCACCCGGTGGCATTGAGGGGGATCCGACGGGAAGTGGGAATTCGCGGCTGAACACAGTCTGAAGCTATCCATCTTAGTTGAACTGCAGGTTCAGAGTTTCAGGGCGGGCCATTGTAATTGTAATTGTAATTGGTATCAGTGAAGAGGTGTCTATCTAAAATTCCACTTTCAGTCAACGGACAACTGCGTCAAATTACGATGAGGAGGTTGCAAAGGAACCCACTTACGCATGCATACTGCAGCGCAAGTTGGCCTTCCAATAAGGTAGGCCGAAGAGACCTGAGAAGGAGGGCCCAACCTGCGACCACCCGTCTTAGCACATTGTCGGGCATCAATCAGTTCTTTCGTACCAGAAGCACCTGAGATCACAATGTACTAATGGAGTCCTTCAGCACTGGAACAGGTGCCATTCCTGATGCTGTAGTATCCATAGGCTTTGTCTGGCCCATTGGAGCTTTTATGAGCCGCAAGATCACGTTCCTCAAGCCACCTAAGGACTGGAGCCCCTGGGAAATTGATAGGGAGTGCTTGGCTGCCGAACTGCTTTGAAGAAACTCGCATGAGTTAAGTTACGACAGGCTTCTCGCCCGGGACAAACCCAACCATTGCCCCCCCGGTCTTTCCGCGATCACGCACACCGAACAGCTACATATTAAAGCTGTTCCAGCTCAAGGCATATGGAAGTAGCTGTCAACCGCGTCCCATCAAGAACGCCTAAGGAGGCTGGGCTAAGGCGACTAAGGCAATGTCACATCGACAGCCTCGATGAACACACGATATTTCTGCTTGCTCCGGAGTCGCGGTTGGGATTGTTCTTGAAATTGTCATTTTCGTTGTAAAGTAGCGACTCCAGTTCTCTGATGGTGGCGGAGCCTCCTTCTCTTCGTCGCTTCTTCATATTTTGCCTGCTTGATATTCTGGTACACACCCTACCCCCACTGCTGATCCCCCCCGTTCCCGCAGTCGATATCGTCTCCCTATTCATTCACTTGAGAAGCCGAACTATATGAGGTCGATATTTCAGAGCAAATCGAAACCACCATCACCACCCCTTACCTACTCCTTTGCAGCCCTTCTCGTGCAGAAGGATGAGGCTGAGGGGTCTGGAGGCGACAATTTGACTACGGGCTTCTTACATTTCTTCGACTTGGGCAGATTATAATCACTGTGTCGCGCTGATATAGAGAATACTGTAAGAAGTTCTTCTAGTTTTCGGTAGGTATCATTTCCTTAGCTGTTGTGGGGTAGCCTAACATTCTCCTAGGAGCCTTTCACCGCAAGTCGGACCAAATCAGAGCCACACAGCATCATACACAACTACAGCCACAAGAGACTTACCATGAGGGGTTCTATGGAGACAAACGGGCTCTGGGAGCAACACCATGCCAGCAGAAGACGTCCTTTGATCTCAAGCACCTCAGAAATACAGGGCGAGGTTGCGGAAGTAACTCATCCCCCGCTACAGCCTACTGTGACAGAGGCACGTCGTCGAAATGTCTCTGCCATGAATCGAGATTCTCAACGGCAGACCCAAAGAAATCGACACTTGGGATCTATTGGAATTCAGAAATCTCACCGAACGATTGGTCAAGGAATGCGACATCGAACCCAGAAGGCAGTTAAGCCTGGAAAGACACTAAATGTGGACGGCTTGTCTCGACCATTAAGGCCCAAGACTCTGGAGCCCACGTCTTCCCTTATAACGCCCTCGATGAGTTTGACCTCTCAAAGCTACGAAAACCTTGCAGGAGAGCAATATGAAACCCGGATACGTTGGAACCAGCACCCGATAGTGGCCAGACTCCTCCAAATGTTCGCATTGTCTATCCAACCGGCCGCAAATCACATGGCTATCGGCCCTCTCATCACTCAATTTGATTCTAGCTGTCAACACTCTCTGCTGTCCAAGACTGTAGCGCTGAAGTTGGGGCTACGGCTACTGCCCTGGCGCCCCGGAGGTTCTCTCGAGGTGATGACCGAGTTCGGCTTCTTCAAGCCAACAGAATACGTCACCGGAAATATTCGAGCCAGTCAGTTATCTAACGGAGACCTCGGAAAATGCAACGTAGCTCTCTTAGATGACGAGCAAATGATGTCTCTAGGATTCCAGTTCCTGGTCGGAAAAAAGATCTTTGACAAGCTTGTGGAGAAGCGCCCCTTGTCTCCGGAACAACGCGCCAACATCGATCTCGGTTTTCGAAGATCTTCACCGAAGCAATCTGCCGCAGCGCCTTGGGCGCCGGGCCGTGGTAAGTTCTCAAGGTATGATTGCCGATCAATGCAACAGGCTGCTAACCCGGATAGTAGATGTAATCTGTGATGAACACTACATGAATCATCTCCAACCTACGATGCTTGGCCAGGCATCAAGCTTCTCGACAAGTTACACGGCCGGTGGCAACCTATCTGGGTTTTCAGCGGATGATGCTGGGCCAGTTTCGACTCCTCGAACATCATTTGATTGCATGAGGCTTGTTCGTAGTCCTGCGAGCGATGCGCAAAACGTCAACAGTTGCCGAAGTCTCTGCGGGTACGGCCAAGCACCCTCCCATGATAGTTTTCCTCAAACAGAGGCTTTTGGTACCCAGTCGAGCAGTTTCAATCACATCCCATATGGCCGCAAGATGAGCAACTCATCTGATGTTGCTCAGGTGAGCCTTTCATTCGAGAACAACTCGATGTTCGGGGTCTCCAGCGCGACAAACGATCTAGTAAACGTCAATTCTCCGACGCTTCCTGGACATACTACTGCGATGCAAATTCCTTTGGGTCGGCCACAGACTTCCCTTAGTGGTACTCTACCAGAATACTATGATGGAATGCTCACGGGTCCAACTTCGAACTACTGCAGTCCGGGTGGTGCCTCGTATTCTGGCAATGACCAAACTCAAGCAGCAAGGCCCTCGCTGCATGCCCAGCCAGAGGGGCTCACTGCAACTAGTTGGCAGAACGCAGAGTCTCGGACCCAGGTAGACGTGCGGCTAGCATCGCAGTCAGGAGCGGCGTCTTTGCCTGCAATTCGGGTCAACTCGTCACCTCTGGACAATTGCAATAGCCCCAATCACCAAGCCTTTTTTGACTCTGACATGGGTATAGACCCGTTCTTCTTGTCATCGTCTTGATCCTGATAGAGGACACGAAGAGCCCTCAGCTGAGGAGTGATTATACGTTGGGTCGCCGAAAGCGGCTCAGTTAGCTGTCTAGGGTCTCATCGCCCTAGTTCAGTGCCATTCATAGGTGATACGTCACCCTGATCCAAACTCTGTAGCATTGCAGAGTTGGCATGTGATCTCTAAGGAGCGTTCTTGTAACATGTTGCTAGGTTATATAGCCTTGGTTCACGCTTCTAAAAGAGCTTTTCAGAGATAAGTGTCTCGTCTTATAGTAGTGGGGTTTGGGGAGTACAGTACCCTGTCTTGACATGACCTCCATCTTTGGATGTCTGTTTAGCAACTTGGGAAGGCATTCGTCTCAATCAAACGTTACGTGTTGGCTACCTATATGTGTTAAACTCTTTTTTCTTTTGTTTCCTTCTTCACTATCTCGGACTTGTTTTCTTATATATAGTCGCTGGGACCGAGTCATTCAGGGTGGTAGGTGTGGTACAGTTCTCCATCGACGAAGAGACTCAGATCATGTTCTATTTATCGATAGATCTTTAGGGTTTCCAGTCATGTTTCTTCAACCTTGGGGAATGTCTTTCATACAGACACTAAGTAACTTGCTTGCCTAGACTTCGTTCAACATGGGAGAACTTCGGCCGCGATTGGTTCAGACAGATCACGCTTCTCTGGACTACGATCGTGGCGGTCATGGTTGAAATAAAGCTTAACTTGGTATTCGAGGATACAAAGGTAGCTCGTCTTCTCTCCACTCGTATAGTTTATCCTGAAATCTTTTCTCCTCCACTAAATGACCCTGCTCGTCCATCGTTCCGTCATTACTGTTGCCGACGCTTATAGTAACTTCTCAGACTTCTATACACGTAATTAGGCAGAGAGCATACATGTCAAGGACCACCTTCTTCAAAAAGCATACTCCCTTCTCCTCGAAGCACGATATTTTTCAACTTCATACCCCATACACAAGCACACCCGCAGCAATGTCGAAATTCAAATGTCTACCAGTAGACATCCATCTCGCCATCATGGAACGATTGAAACCCGAGGAAATCCAGCCATGGATCCGAGCAAGTCCCGACGCACTCAGATGCTATTCCGCCTTCAGCTTCAGAATTCTAAAGAAATATATCCGGGCGATAGGCCTGATTTCCGATCTTCAAACTAAGGTCTCCGATTACGAGTTGCAGAGTGTCGAGATCTACGACACATCCGACCCTTCAGCCGACCCCGAATTCGGCGTCACATCCGAGACCACTAGCCTCGGCTGGCCAACGACCCAGATCACCATGCTGGCTCTACTGAGGCTCTTTGTAGAAGCCCGCGCTCATAGACCCAAGGTCGATCGTCTTCACTCCAGCCTCTGGTGGGATGCAACACTTGATCAACAATTGTGGGAGGACGAATGCAAACTTAACTCGACGTTTGTCGATTTGTTCAAAAGGAGCCCACGGAATCACACCACAGAAATGTTCATGGCGATGTTTGAGGATTTCATCCCGACATAGACTGGATATAGCCGTGAGAACATCAACACGGTGGACTGATCAGGGTGGGAGGGGTTTATAATCGGGATGACTAGTATATACTTGTACAGAGAGATGCTAGTATCACAATGAGGTTCTTCAAGTAACACAGTCAGTCGTACTCTGACCCAGAGAGGGGATTTTGGGGTTTCTTGAAATTTCCTAAGGTTTCCTACTAGACCTGACTTGCATACCTCCTTGCTACTTCCAATGGTTAAACCCCGTGAAGCAGAAAGCGGTGTGTTTCCCGATAGACCTGACTCTCTTGTTCATATGCCATTTCCCTGTTTAAACTTTGTAGAAGCAGAAAGCAGTGTAAAAGCTCGCCGCCTCCAACTCCTCTGGTGAAACAAGTAGACGTCCGCCACCACGTTCCCGAACCCCCATTCTCTCACTCAAAGGACCCAAGGTCTCGTCATCCTTCTCCGCCTCCCAAATCTCCATGAAGGTCTTGTGGTACTGCAACTCGAGGTTGTAGTCTTCAGCAAGAGCTCTGAGGACTTCCCATGGCACAACGTACTCGGGGACCTCTTCGACAGCTTCATCGAGGAAGAAGTTGTATTTCCAACCGAATGCCGGGCGGAAGACGCCATCAGCAGGTGTCTTGCCAGGGAATCGGACCCGGTAGATGGAATTGCCCCATTCCGCCGACTGGTCTGCTTCACCATCTTCCAATTCGCCCTCCTCTGCTTCTTGCGGCGGTTCTTCTGCGGCCTTCTTCTTCTTCTCTTCCTGCTGCTCGTTGAACTTTCGAACGTGATCACCAAGGACGTCAGAGTTGGGAATGCATCCGATCAAGCGACCTCCTTTCTTCAATGAGCCTGCTACGTTGCGCAGCATGGTTCGAGCCTTCTGCTCCGTCTCGAAGGCATAGTGCATGCAGAACATCATGCTCACCACATCGAATCCTCGTCGGCTGAGGGGGCTGGTGTCGAATCCGACTTGTCTGATGATCTCAATGTCCTCAATGTTTTCGCCGTAGCAGTCCTTGACCTGGAAGCGTGCTTCGAAAAGGCGAGGGGGTGGTCGTCTGTATCCTCCTCTACCGCCCCTGCCACCGCCTCCGCGGCTGCCCATCTGACGGTAACGCTCTCGAGCCTGGTCAATGCTGATATCTGCAGGGTCGAGACCGACATACAGCTCTACTGATTGAGGCGCTTGCTGCCATTTGCCGAGGTCACCTCCCTTTCCGCAACCAACGTCGAGCACAAGGAGCTCCTTTGCGCCCGGCTCACGAGAGCCCGGAGTGTAGTCTTCATCTGGCGAGAACTTCTGAATGATGCAACTCTTGATCCAATTGTTGAAGGCGCGCAGGCCCTTGATCTTGCTATCGGTTCGTCTCCAGTCCCTACCGCGCTCTGGTACACTGTTGTAATGTTGCGTGACAACATCATTGTTGGCACCGCCCTGGCGCTGGCGCTCAGCAGCAGCGTGGGCTGCAGCTTCCAATTCCTTCTCTCTATCGAGTGCTCTCTGGCGAATGGCCTCTCTTTCGGACTCGGAGATGCGGGCTCGGGCACCTGGTCGCTTCTGCTTGCGAGGCTGTTCGGAGGGCGAGACGGCTCGGCGCTTAGCGGGCTGAAGCTCCTTCGCATTGTAGGGTTGTGGAAGTTCATCCGTTCCATCCTCGCGCTTATTGCCTCTTCGCGAGGAATTGCCGTTCCTCGAGGGCGACTGTGATCTTTTGCGTTTCTTCGCGTCGTATGAATGAGTCTGTCGCTCGTACGAATCGTCGTCGTCGTAACCCGCCATTGTCTCGAGTCAGACGTGAGAATTCTTCGGAAGAGCAAATATTATCGTCTCCGTGGAGATTGCAGTGTAGTTTTGTTGTTTCCAGAAGTTGTATGTGCAGGTACGGATGTGAGAAAGTTGATGTGTATTGTTAGAGTGGAACAGAAGCTGTTGGGCGTCGCAAGTAGGTAGGTAGGCACGTAGGTAGGGGGGAGGATACTGGGGTACCTGCTGGGAACGAAGGTAAAGCCCACTTAGAGGTGTATTACACGGAAGGTGTGGCTTTAGAGAGCAGGGCTCTTTCGCACTCTGGGACCGACAGGATTATCTTCATGGTTACTTAGGTAAGTTAGACTGTATTCCTCTCGCGTCACTCTGTACATGCTTGTAAAGAAGTCGTTTACTGACTTCGGGCTTTTTTAAAATGCAATTCGGCGTCTTGAGTAAGTAGGTAGGTAGCGCAGTGTGGGTTGTCTCGTGCTTTGCAGGCAGGTCCGGTACGTGTCGCACTGCAGCCTTGCTGACTTGACTAAGCTCACCCCCGGCATCAGACCAATCACATCAGAGTTTGCCCAGACGCTTGCGGGTTGCAGGGGGCTTTCCTGAGCTCCCAGCTCCAGACACCACCATACAACGACATCACTCTTGCTCACCCAGTAACACATCCCGCAGCCTCAACCTCTTTGATTTCTCCCCTCCTTAGCAACCGACAACGACCCTTTCCAGACGCCTTCTTACAATCAACCGCCAAGATGGGCTCAGAACCCCAGTACGCAAAGTACCCTCTCCTTCCCCTCGCCCAGCATGTCTTCGCCCTCACAAACGCCTACGCATCCCGGCCATCTCAACAATCCGCTGCGAAAGCCCTCAATGATGCCATCACCGAGCACAAGATGGCACCGCTCTACCGGTACCTCGCACACCCCCTCGAGGGAATTCTGAACCAAGTTGGCGAGGGTGGCAGTCAGACTCCCGGCAAGCCGCTGAGTCGGAAGTCAAGTCTCGCTGGCATGATTGCCACCAAGACCACCCCCACCGCAGTCAACCTACCCTGGGATGAGGCCAGATACCAAGAGCTGAAGGCCGACAACGACAAGGAGTTGGAAGAATTTCAGAAGGAAGAGGATGAGGCCGTTGAGAAGGCTGGCGAGACTGAGATCCAGGCCGCGCGGGGCAAGCGCGCGGAGTTCTGGGCCAGAGTCGGTGACAAGGTGCGATTGGACAGACTATTTACTCTTCAAGGGAATTCCGACTAACCTCTTTGACAGGACCGGGCGATCGCCGCATACGAAGACGTTTTCGAGAAGACCGGCATCCTGGGCACCAAGATCGACTTGGTTCTCGCAATAATCCGTATGGGGCTCTTCTACGGCGACAAGCTTCTTGTCAAGAAGCATGTTGAGCGCGCAAAGACCCTGGTCGAGTCCGGTGGTGACTGGGATCGCCGCAACCGTCTCAAGGCATACGAGGGTATCTACCTCCTGACCGTCCGGTCATACAGCTTGGCCGCCCCGTTGCTGCTCGACAGCTTGTCCACCTTCACCAGCTACGAACTCTGCACCTACTCTTCCCTAGTCGTCTACTCCGTTCTCGCCGGATCCGTTTCACTGAAGCGTGTCGACTTCAAGAGCAAGGTCGTCGACGCCCCCGAGATCAAGGCCATTCTGGGTGATGGAGAGGACAAGCTTCTTGCTCTGTCTGGTGCTCTCAGCGCCGGTCCCGGTGCTGACGACGCCATGCACGACGCACCGCCCGCCGCTGCCAAGACTGCGGTGAACCTGACCACTCTCGGAACAAGCACCGATCAACCCGAGGCCGAGATGGCTATCGACTTCTCGCCTTTGGCTCAGCTTGTCTCCAGCCTGTACAACGGCCAGTACAAGTACTTCTTCCAGGCTCTCGCCCAGGTTGAGGAGTCTTTCCTCACTCAGGACCGCTACCTCCACGAGCACAAGAACTGGTTTATCCGTGAGATGCGCCTGCGTGCCTACCAGCAGCTCCTCCAGAGCTACCGTGTGGTTGGCTTGGAGACAATGGCGACCGACTTTGGCGTGACCGTTGACTTCTTGGACCGGTATAATACTTTCCCTTCGGGCTGCATCGGTCAGATCAGACAACTAACATCATCTCCAGTGATCTTGCCAAGTTCATCGCAGCCGGCCGCATCCCCTGCACAATCGACCGTGTCAGCGGCAAGGGCGTCATCGAGACCAACCGTCCCGACGACAAGAACAAGCAGTACCAGGACGTCGTCCGCCAGGGCGATCAGCTCATCACCAAGCTCCAGAAGTACGGCCAGGCTGTGCGTCTGAGAGGAAGCGAGCGGGCATAATCAGCTTGAAAGAGCAAGGTGACGGGAAGAACGACGGAGAGCTTTTGACCACAGTGCTTTTACAATCGTGTTGTCCCTCAGTCAGGCTTAGGACTTTAAAAGGCGCGAGGTAGAACCGGCAGGCGGCGAATAGAAATCGGGGTTGGGGCAAAGCAAATCTGTGCTACTCCTATAACTCTCTGTATGATACCTACGGATTAGACAAGCCAATTTGAGAAACTTTGGCTTGGCCGAGGCTCACTTGTCATGCTCGTGAATGGCGCCGCGGACTTGAGTATTCATGGGAGCGGAATCTTTCTATTCTCGCAAGCTATGCTCAAAAAGTGTCAACACATGCCAAATCCCAGACGTGTTGCTAAAACAAACGAGATATCTACTCTGCGCCCTTGTACGTGCCCATCGATATCTGCTTTTATCCACCCTGGATATGTGCTTCCGGAAAAAGACTACGCAAATTCGTTCGTTTCATACCTGTTCCCAGCCGCACTTCGCTGCTACACGTTGCTGCGCACAGCTTTTTGCCATCCAACGCGGCTGGCCTCCTCGCACCTTTACGATCCTCATACACAGTGAAAACGACTAGCAGCTACACCACAAACTCGTTTACCGGTACTTCTCAAAGAAGTCCTTGTGGAAGTTGATGATGCGGCCGACCCACTCGGTGCCGGGGGCGAGGAAAGTAGTGCGGAAGTGAAGAGTGCCCTCCTTCTGACCGAACCCGCTACCGGGAACGACGCAGACACCAGTGGCCTCGAGCATGCGCATACAGTAGAACTCGTCTGCCGTGCGGCCCTCCTTCTGGGCGGCCTCGGTGGCCTTTGCGGGGAGCTTGATGGTGGGGAAGAGGTACATGGAGCCCTGGGGCGCGCCGCACTCGACGCCCTCCATCTGGTCAAAGGCCTTGTGGAGGGCGGTGGCGCGCTCCTTGAGGCCGTTGAAAATGCCGTCGTACTCCTTCTTGTACAGCTCGTAGCTGGGCTCGCCCTCCTTGGGGGGGTTGACCATGAGCTCGACGATGCACTGGCCGATGACGGGGGCGCAGAGGGTGATGGAGACGAACTTGTAGATGTTGGCCTCGACCTCGGGGTCAAAGTTGACGAGCTCGAAGTAGCCGCCACGGTGACCGCACTCACCAACCATACCCTTGGAGATGGAGTGCAGAGAGGCGAGTTCGACGCCGTCGTACTTGCCGGGGGTCTCCTTCTGCAGCTTGCGCAGAACGCTCTTGAAGGAGTGGAACTTGCCAACGAAGACGTTGGTCTGGTAGACTTCGTCAGCCATCACCACAAGCTGCTTCTCTGCAGCGTAGTCGTAGACGGCACGGATGTCATCCTCGGACAGGGAGGCACCAGTAGGGTTGCCAGGGTTGATGATGACAATGGCGCGGACATCGGTGCCTTCGGAGGTGGCCTTCTCGTAGGCAGCCTTGATGGTGTTCAGGTCGGTACCCCAGCCTGCGGCCTCGTCGAGGTAGTAAGGAACGCAGGTGGCGTTAAGAAGCGACAGCGATGCGGTGTAGAGCGGGTATTGAGGAATGGGCACAAGAACACCGCTTTGGGCGTTCTGGGCGAGGATGTGAAGGAGGGTGTTAACTCCGGAAGAGGCACCGCCGGACAGGTAAATGTGGGCGGGTTCGGCGGGGAATCCGTCTCGGCCTGCAGAGATCTCTGTCAGTTTTCACACTCGGCGCAAGGTCGGCAGAGTTAAGGACATACGCTCAATAAACTTAGCAATGCTCTCCTTGATGGCGGGAACACCAGCACTGGCACTGTAGGCGCCAACAGAGCCGACCTTGCTCAAGAGGAACTTGGCGCGGGCGATAACATCGCTCTTGTAGCCAAGCTGGTTCAGCAAGACATCCTCGTGCTCGAGAAGCAGGGGGTTCTCGAGAAGACTGACGACCTGGCGGAAGAAGGTAATGGGCTTCTGGTCGAGCTGCTGGGGGTTGCCGATGTTGGCCGAGATGACGGCGTCGAAGGGGAGGTCCTTATCACCCTTGGCTAGCTTCGCTCGGTATTCCTCCGACTTTACAGCCAGCTCGCCGCGAACGGCGTACTCGGCAGCGACAACATGCTGGTTGATGTTGTGCACATTCAGCCGGCGGCTCGGTGTGGTAGACATGGTTCGATGGTGGGGTGACGAACGACTGTTGCTGCTGCTGAAGAAAAGTTGCCTCTGAGATGGCGGGGTATTGGAGAGGAAGATCTTAGGGGACCGCGGGGTATCTGTGCAAGAGTCATATAAAAGTTAGTAAAAGGGCTTCTGCCGCGCAACAGTGGAGATCAAGGTAGAAAAACACCTTTGGTCAGATCGATAACACCGGGAAGAGCCGAGCAAAAAGGAGAGAAACTTCGGAATGGTTAGAGAAACAGTGGGAAGAATGAGTCTCAAGGAATCCCTGAAAACGTACGCAGCCAACTCAACCAGTATTTATTTAGCTCTTCGTCAACGAAGTGAGTATCTAGTCGGTCTTGGACGCGGGGGCCGTTACAACAGTGCGCAATGTCTAATTGATGGATTAAACGGGCAGAGGGAAGAAAAAGACGGCAAAGTTGACAGGTAATCAGCGCATCCTCTTCCCGTCATCGTCCGATGCAGAAGCTCTTATTCAATAACTCTGACAGCCGCAAGCCTACTTGGGCTGGTACTGTGACCTCGGGGGCACGAGACATGACCCTGTGTGGCATCGTTTCTGTGCTGCCGCGGGATGGCTTCCATGACGGGCTGTGTTTGCCCCCCTTCCAGTGCGGGACGCCAGCCGAGCACTTGCTGCCGCTGGTGAGTCGTGGACGAAGACGTGGATCAGACCCGGTCGTGTTTGGCGCGGGTTTGCCTCAAAGGCCTGTGTCCGAAACCGGTGACGGCAGGACAAGGGGGAAGCCGGTCGGCGCGCCTAGAGGCTAGAGCTTCTGCGGATTCTCCCGCCAGGGTATTTCCGAATCCTCGACGCCTTGGTGAAAAAAATGCAATTGCTCCTGCAATAGGAGAATGGAAAGTGTGGGGGTCCACGTGGGATTCATGGGCGCTTGATCGAACTTGAGAGATGAAAATGACCAAGTGCCTTGTCCGTTTGCTCGGTGAAGGATGGCAAATAAAGAGCCGTGGCGTGCGGTGTAAGCTGGCGCGCAAAAACAGGTGGGGGAGGAAAGCGCAGCTTGGACAGGAGCTGTCCCGTTTGAGCGGTGCTGGACAGGCGAGCTTTCGATAGCTTCGAGCTGCACCAATCTTCCACTTTCATGGGTGACAGGAAAAGCTTTTGGCTTGGTGAAAGGGCTAGGCAACAAACACCAACTTGAAGAAAACAAACTGCTCTAAAACGGTGGAAAGGGAATTCGTTCAGCATTGCGACGTACCATTTGATCTGCTTCCGCTGCTCATCAATCGCACTTGGCTTGTGGCAGCCTGACCCCTCGATGCTCCCAGCGACCTGGCCGCGGTGCAAGCCACTCTGTTCGCCGCCATCGCCAAACGTATCGTGGTGTTGGTCGGAATTTGGTAATGCGCCACTGTCGGTCGGTTGGTCTGTCGAATGTAGAGTTTCGTGGAGAGATTCACCGTTTTCAACTTCGGTGTACGGTGTACGGTGTATTCGGTGTGTCCCTGGGTATCTTCCTTCACTGGAAATGCGAGACTCGAATGGTGTCGAAGAAAGAGAAATTCCACGACGAAACGCGGTCTGCTCTCGGCGGTCTGGAGACGGTGCGGATCGTCGAGTACGTATCCGTACAGCTGACGAGAGAATGCCAAAAGGAAAGGGAAGGTGAGGAAGAAAAAGTCTCAGAGCCACGACTTTGGGAAGTGCACGCCTTCCTGAACCATCACCCTTCACGCAAGCAGGCAAGACAGGAGGAACAGGATGTCCGTTCCTCTTTATTTGTCTAATCCATCCGCCTGCTCACGCCAAATTCTTATGCCCTGCCCACCCTCCTGCTCTCACCATTCTGCCGCTGCTACTACTGCTGCTGTTTTCCCCGGCCCCGGCCACGGTCCTGCCCGTGGATCTGTTGAGAAACGCGACCCGAGCTGCGAGATAACCACTTGCTTTGCCCACCCCCTCAAAGCCCGGCGCCGGCGGGCGAACGAACCACTCGGGAGTCGGGGGGGCTACCTAGGTATTCGCGATAAAACTACCTCAAACTGCGGGCTCAACCTCAAAAAAGGGCCGCGTGCAGGGAAGGGCGCGCAAAGAAAAAAGAGGTACAGTAATCCCACCCAGCTCCAGCAACCCAAACCCAGAATGTAGTAGACTATCACCGTCCGAACATGGAAAAAGGCATTTGATGGCGGTGACGCTTCATGCCCCCAGGTCCCTGCAAGCTCTAAAAAAGGTGCTTGGCCCAACGGGGGGATCCAGAGGCTGGCTAGAGCTATTGACCGAGAAAGGACCCTGAACAAGATCCACCAACCAACATCTCCGTTGCTCGGATTACGATCTCCTAGACTTTTGACCGCGCAGCTTGACCGCTGTACGGCTGGCATAACCCCCGAGCTGTAACTCTATGCTACAGCCTACGGATACTCACGTTGCAAGATGCTACAGTTCCTCGATCCATCATGGCCCCTTTTGCCCCTCTTTGCTTGGCTTCTTCCCAAAATGTATCACTTGACTAACATCACGTCACAAAAGTTCCTATTGATAGATATTCCAGGAGAAAGTGAGTGAGACTGTTCTACACAATGCCATGCGATCATTCATCATAAGGCCAGCTGGCGCCACTTGCCGTGGGCTAGCCGACGTGGAGGTGCACGTCCACCACACTGAATCCTCACCGAACCCGGCCCTTCGGTGAACGGCCCTTTTTCCGCCGACAGTCTCTCACCACCCGCAAAATTCCAGTCTCCATACTGCGAAAGCTATCCCGTCCACCCGTGTCCAAGCCTCAAGCTATCCAACCGCGTGCGGCGCAAACTCCCCTTCAAGATGGCCAAGAAAGGTATGCACAATCTCTGCGCTCCATTCGATCACAATGTTGCTCTTAGTCGAGTTATCAAGCTAACTGATGTCGTTCAACAGCGAAGTCCCGTGTCATGATCGTCCGGCTCTTGTCCATGGCCGCGACTGGTTACTTCTACACTGTCAAGCGTCTCCGAACCGCAACACCCATGAGCTTGCTGAAATACGACCCAATCAGTATGCGGATCCCTTTCCCTTCGGTTCAACAAACATGACGCCCCTCTCAGGACGCCACGAGATGGAGATAGGGATGACAGGGCTAACGCATTTACAGTTCGGCGAAAGGTGCTATTCTTGGAGCAGAAGAAGAAGGGAAAATGAGCCCGCGTATTCTCGAATTACCATCACCATATGTAACAACACTGATATCACCATAAACGGCGTTCACGGCGGCATACGATTGGGGCTCGAAGACCACATGGATGAACTGTACATCATCAACCTGCAATCCCTCAGACTTATCGTCAGGGACAAGGCATTGGCACGTCGGACTGTGCCCCAGAGGCGGAACGAAAGCTAAGGCTTCGATGGCCACGGCCTAGTTGTATATTCTACAAAAAGAGAACAAACCTTGCATAAATGCAACATCCCTCCGCATAATTCCACCACACTTGAATCCTTCGCCCACGTCTAAGAAAATTGAGCCCAATGGGCGGTACTAAAGAAGCTACAATCCTTTTCTGAGAATACATCGTGTCTTGTTCTAGCCACAGTATGCGATTCACTGCGCAGCGGCTACTGTGAGAGTTCGGCGTTCACTTGCCTCCACGTTCTGCGCTCTCGTTCGGTTTAGAAGCGTTTGAGAAGAAATGGTGGGAAACTTGATCATCATCCTGCGCAATTGCTGCAGGCACCTTGTTACCGTCCTTGCTGCGCTCTGGCGGCTCAGCTTGGAGACGGTCCTCCATACTGCTTCTCGCAACTTGCGAAGTTTCAACGTTATCTTCGTTCTCAGTGAAGCATGGTTTCGACCGTTTCGGACCTCGAGACCATTGCTGAGAATTGCTAGGTCTTTTGGATCCTCGCTGCTCCGCATGGTTCGCTGGTCCCTCAAGTCTCGCCCATTCGTTAGGGTTGGCCAGATCGCCGAGGATTGCTTTGCGGTTGCCCACGAGGCTGTTCTTGACATCCAAGATGGCCTCCTGACTGGACTTGGGAGCACTTTGAACGGGTCGGTTGTACGAAGAGTGTCCTGCATGACGCGCTACCATGGCATCGGTACTTCCCTTTGATGTTCTGGCAGTGGGAGTTCTCTGTGGGCGGAGGATCGATCTGATTCGGGATCCCTGAGTGGCTACAACCACTCGCTGCGACTTTTCCTGTTCAACTGATGGCACAGGCAACTCGTCTTCCGACTCTTCAACGGGACTGCGGAAGACTGTTCGTTTGCTGGCTCGTATCAGCGGGATGTCAGAGGAGCTCGGCTGAAAATTATTCAGGGGGTCGTAGACATCTTGTTGCAGCAACGCGGGAAGCATCGGCAGCACGAGACTGTCGGGGATCAGAATTTCGTCGCTTTCTGTGGTACCTTTTCTGTCGAGCGTTTCTGCAAGGTTCTTACTGATCGTAGCGTATGCCTTACCATTCGATCTGAGCTGCTTGATGTCTTCCTTTAGGGTTTGGAGCTGGGCAAGCTGTTCAGCTACCTGATCAAGCTGGCTATTGTTAGCAGCAGGAACCTGCGTATCGCGAAGCTTGAGAGTGAGATTGGTAATTCTTTGACGAGCATTCTCCAACTCATTTTCGAGTTTCGATGCTCTGATAACACTCTCTAAGGCCTTTAGACGTTCGACCTCCGCCATGGTCATGGTCAACTGTTGCCGAGCCTGGTGCAGAGATTCTCCTGGGCTGTTCGGCCGCGTCTGCATCTCGGTATCTTCCTCGGATTTTTCTGCGAGTTTCTTCTCCGACTCTTCGGCAAGTTGGCGTTGATGATGGGCATCTTCCTCAGCAATTCGCAATTTCTCCTGGAGCTCTCGAACTTTAGCCTCATGCCCTTCTCGCTGGAGATGGAGCTCAGTCTGGGTCTTTGTGAGTTGGCAATCCTTGCCCAAGAGACTCTGCTCTAACGCTCGAAGCTCTTCTTCCGTGGTTGCTGCTTGGTTTGATGCCCACTCTGCGGAGTCTCTTGCCTCTTGTAGCTTTTGATTGACTTTACAAACAGAGTCGGTCATCTCTACGATTTCCGCATCCTTTGCTAAGAGACCCTGAGCGAGTTTGTTGTTCTCCTCTTTTGTCTCTGAAAGTTGCAGCATCAACTGTTCATGGTGACCCTTGCGCTCAGTCTTGGTCGCCAACAATTGGTCCTGAAGCGTCTTCTGGAGACTTTGCAGTTTTTCTTCGATGGACTGACCACTTACCGTGGCTTCCAACTCTTTCGAAAACCTGCAATTACGTCAGTTGAGGGGTTAAAATGTACCGGCGGATACTTACCGTGGCATAATTTCCCTTTGGAAGGTCTTCAGAGCTCGCCGAATCTCGTCTTCAACGTTCAGATGAGGGGCGAATTGCACATGATCCGCTATTTCGCCCAGCCTACAGCAATCAGTTGCATGCGGACGACACGAATACAATTGAGAAGTACCTTTTCATGACCTCGGTTGGCATAGCGGGCGCTTCGATAGAGCACGCTTGTAGGTCATCCATCTTCAAGGACACTTCGGCCACACGCTCGTCGTTTTGGTGCAGCAGACTCTTTAGGGCGTTCGCATCGACACGCTCTTCCTCCAATCCCTTGACTCTCTGCACTTCGAAATGGAAATCTTTCTCAAGGTTGCCTAGGGCCGATGTCATGTGTATGACTTGTGATGCCGCTTCTTATTGTCAGTACAGCGATCTTCAATCTTCGAATCGGGTCTGCTTACCGGCCGCCACCTCCTGTTGGAGAAGTACTTGTCTGTCTTTGGAAATGCGGTTCAACTTGTCCTGGGCAGCCTGTTTCTCTGCCATGACCAAATTGAACTTCTCTTCCGCCTCATGATGCTCCTTTCTCATACTAATGATGGTTTTTTGGGCGACATCTCTGGATTGGTGCCATAGTTGTTGGTGTTCTGCAACGGCCTTGTTGAGGTGATCCTTGTATGAGCGGCTTTTCTCTTGCAACTTGTCGAGCTTGGAATGGGCGACTTCCAGCTCGTCGTGCAAGCTGGCCGCCACTTCGTCTTGCATCTTCCTATCAGCTTGCAGATTGGCAACTTCCTGTTCTAGTTCTTGCATTCTTCCACCTTGTTGAGCAAGTTTTTGAGAGAGCTCGCCTTTTTGATTATGAGCTAGAGAAAGCTCCGAGTTGAGAAGTACGCGGCGATCGCAGTCTTTCTGATAGCGTGTCTGATATTGTCCCAATCGAGTCTTCAGTTCCTCGATCTGCTGTTTCTGGCCCATGAGACGACTATTCATCTTGTGCTCGACTTCTTTGGAGTAACTGAGAACTTTGTTGTAGTGAGCTGACATACTTTCAAGTGTTTCGTAGTGGCTCTCGGCCGTAACCTGCTGGTTTTTTGGGTCGAAAGCGACTTTCTCGTGACTCGGCTTGGTATATCGTGGTTGGCGGAAAGAGTGCCTTCGGCGCCGAGAGGTATTGGAGAGGCGGGATTTCGTACGTTGCGGAACATCTCTAGCAGTGTGCTCGTGTCTGACACGTGTAACTGACTGCTCTCGGGGCGAAGAGTGCTGCCGACTAGCCTTGCGAGCAGAACCGGGTGTTTGTTTCTGGGGCATCTCCAAGTCGCCAAGTGGAGTAGACGAGCGAACCTCAACTGTCTCGTTCCCCTGAACTTGAGATACCCTACGAGGTAGCATACGATTGTCTTTGACGGGCTTGCTAGTTTCGGAGAGGTGGTGCTCCAAGCCATTTGTGACACTTCCCTTTCGATCTGAGATCACACGTTGCTGTAGTTCGCCTTCATTATCTCCCCGAGAGCTGCGCGGCCGTGAAGCAATGCACTTTTCGGTAGCCGGTGTTCGTTCAAGTGCAGGTTGTAGAGCCTCTCGTTGGTCGCAGGGAAGAATAGCATCGGCATCAGCAAAGGGTCGAATACTGATGTGCTTTTTGGCAAATTCAATGACTTTCTGCTCGACTCTGATAGATGGGCGTTCCGCATTATGATTTTGAGCTGGATCTCTCGCAGGGCTGGTAGTAATCTGATCTGAGTGACCTCGGGTCGGTAGCTGAACGTGGCCGCTCAATTGCTGCGAGTTTACTTCTGTAATCCTGGAGCGTTGTGACTGAGTGCCGCTTCGGGTTTGATCACTCCGATGGATAGAATCTATCGCATCGTTCACATGGGCGTCGACGCCGCCACAATGGTGGCCTTGACCGTTGATCAAAACTGGTCGTTCCCGTGGCTGGGCTGTTGGGGCATTGCCAGGATCTGCCATGTCGTCTCGAGGCGCTGTATCTTGTCGTTCACTCAGGGCACCAAAGTCGATAGATCGACGCTGCTGGTGGCCAGAAAACTGATTTGGCTTGTACTTGGGCTGCGGTGCGAAGACAAACGAATCAACCTCCTCAGCAAGACCTGGGTCTTCTTCGGGGTAGCATGAAGACTTTCGCCCCTTGCCGCGTATCTGAGATATATGGTACTGTTCGTTCCCATCATCTTGGATAATGTGGTTGATATTCGGCTGCGAGGCTCCTAATTGGCTGAGCAACGATGGTTGAGACTCCGCACTGGAGGGTGAATCTTCGGCCTGGGAGCCGTCATCGGGACAGTGATCTGGGCTGGATCCTTTCGAACGGGACTTGGAACTGTGCCTAGAGTCTCGTGACGTGTTCACATCTGCTGAAAGAGGGTTGAGGCTGGATTCGACGACCATGGTGTGTGGAGGCGGCCAGAGGCCGCAATGTTACTGCAGCCGAGAGCTGTGGTCAATATCTAGAGTCTCTGGTCCAAGATAGCAGAGTTCAGCAGAGAGCCAATTTGGATGAGGAAAGGAGATGACAACTAGGAGAACCAGGAGAAGCAAGAAGCAGCTGTATCAGACAGATTGGGCCGTGGGAGTCGAAGTTGAGGACGATCAACACACCACGACTTATTCAGATAAGACCTTCAGTGCTGGGAAGCATTCCTCGGATTGCCTTGCCGCGCCCCAACTTCTGATAGGCTTTTAGGTGACCACAAGTCATGGATTCAGCTTTTTTGTTAGTTGCAGAAGGAACCTTCGTTGTCCGACATCAGGGGAGTGATTGATAGAAGAATATGATCATGGCTGCCATCTTTCATTGAGTGGAAGGAACGACACTCTATGCATTTAGGTAGCCGCCACCTGCGTTCGACTGCCGCCTCTGCCTTCCAATTCCGTCCTCCTTTCCTTCTCGTTTACCGTGTTGTCAAAGAAGAAGTTTCTGTCTCCTGCATATGACGGATTCCAGCCTCCAGATTTGCGTTGACTATTGCTGTTCGGCGCAAGTCACAAGCATCAGATGGACTAGAATCTCCTTCTCCAGCACCATTCCCGCGGATAACAAAGGAACTGCCCACTCTCTTCAATTCCTTGAAGTGTATGACACAGCTGATCTAGCCTTTCTCATATCCCTCGTCGACGGACAGGATTTGACGACGCGGAACAGAAGTTGGTGTAAGTGGAAAACATAACAAATTGCTGAGTTTTGTCAGGGAAGGAAGGGTAGTCGGAAGACAGTAGCAATATCAATCGCTCGAGCTACCCGATCTTGCTTTCCGCCATCCGTCTCACTTGTTATGGAAGTAGCGGAATACAGCGGGCGATCAGCACACCCGTACTGAGGCAACCTCGATACAGATTCCAGAAGAAGAAAAATATCCTCTCTTAGCGAGGCCTCTTCTTTGGCACTCGGCGGTTTCAGGACGCTTTCCTGTCATCTCTCGAGACCAGCTACGTCAGTTTCCGGGACGGCCTATGGCCGTGGCTTCTCTATGCGTCGCATGGCCATCGGAAGAGGAGACCGCTTGATCTGCAGCCGTCCAGGTACGATCTTCCTCCGAATCGACGTGCTGACTGGCCACGCCAGCTCCGGCAACGAAACCACCGCGATAACAAAGTCAGAAAGATGCGTGAAGACATCCAAGGAGCCAGGCCAAGGCAGTCGCTCCCAAATTTAGAATTTTCCAAGGAAGAGCCAAGCAATGCCAAAAACAAGTCCACCGAGAAAACGACATAAGCGGGAAGGAGAGCAGGCGGTAAGTGACACCTCCAAGGCATCATCGCCGGAACCGAGGTGGCCCGCGCTTGATCGAGGGAAGACCATGGAAGATCTGCTGTACCACCCGGCTCTCCCACCTTTGGTCGAATTGCCCTCTGCTTCTCTCGCCAGCCAGCGGGAGGAAAAGAAGTGACAGTGACAGGACGTGCAGGTGCCATCACAAATAGAGAAGCCACAGGAAAGCACTCTCTAAATGCACGGATAGGCCTCAAATCAGCCCCAGATACTCGCCATCACACCGCAGGATCGTCATGTCAACGGGACAATGCGAGAACCCTTCCCCCATCACACAATTAAGCTCGACGATATTGCATCCACTGCCGGTGACAGTCAGCCTCTCAAAATCCGTCTGAGTGATTTACAACCATACTTGGCCGCGCACACATGCAGTGTAAATAGGAAATGCAGGGCGAAAAAATACATTAACACGACAGGTAGGATTGTGACGGGGACGCAGTTCAACACCCACCCACCCCTGCCGCCTCTCCAAATTCGTCCGAGCCGCCCATCCCAGACTCCTCCCGTTGATTGGCCACCACATCCCGGCCCCGATGTGAAAGCGCCGTGTGCCGGCGCTTCGAGGCCGCTCAACGCCAATGGGAACGTCGCGAGCCTATTTCGACCGTCCTGGGCTCAGACGAGGTTTCCTCTTGAGGTCTTGGAGTCTCCACGGTCTAACAAGGTGCTTCGATACGGTTCCTGCGCCCCGGGCGTGGGTCTTGACCACCCACCCCCCGGCCGACGTGCTGTCGTGCGTTGCTTCGCAAGTGCCGTGTGAGAATGCTATGCACTTGCACGGGGGGTTGAGAGGGCCCTTCGCTTCGTCAGTCACATTGCTCTAAGTGGTCGCTGACTCTGTATGGCTGCTTGCAGAAGGGGGAAAAGGGGAGAGAGCGCAATGGAGTTAAACAATTGGCGCAGGACTCCCATGTGAGAAGATATGCTCCGGGCGCTTGAACAATGTAAATAGTGAGTTGGGCCACATTCGTGGCGCCGGGTATCTTTTCGATTTTTTGTTCAGCTTCTTTATTCTACCTTACTCATACGATTCTGACGCCGGTTTTTGCTCACTCTCTCTCTCTCGTTCGGTTGTCTCTTCCCACCTTGCTTGGCTGTGCCTCTCTAGAACTTTTCCCAATCCTTCCATATCACTGTCTTCACCGTTGCCCTCTGCGAGTGGCACCTCGACCTACAACCAAGATGGCGACCACAACCTCCAACTTCTTTCCCCTGGCGACTGAAACATACTATCCAGACTCTCCTGGCGATGCCAGTTCATCTGGAAACGGCGTCGACACCGAGGCAGGAGCCTCAGGTGACAGCCCCGGGGCCGTCAACCTATCCCGCGAAGCCATGATTGCCATCATCGTCGTCGTCTCTGTTGTCGGCGCTCTCGGAAGTACGTAAAAACCCATTGCAAGAAAATTAAACACCAACTCCTCGAGAACCCATTCGCTAACCCATCCCCTTACTCGTACAGTTGGCATGGCCGTTCTGTTCTACGTTGCCAAGAAGCGCGAGTGGAAGATCAGAGAGACCATGCGCAAATCTGCCAGAAAGGTCGTGACCGCTCTCACGCCGCGGAGGACCGAGTTCCCCAGATCAGTCAAGGAGTCTTCTTCTCCGCCGCGCAGCCACCGCGGGCGCGCGAGGCTCGACGACGTTCCGCCCACGCCCAGACTCCGCCCGGAAGATCTCGAAAAGGGCCTCAAGGAAGCAGAGTCGAAGCGCAAGTTGATGAGGTGGGGCCGGAAGTAGACGATGATGTCAGAAAAGATTTGCGATTTTGAGGGATTGACGGCTGCCCAACTGGCTTGGTGCTGATGTAATGGTTTCATTTGCTGAGGCGGTCGAGACTGGATGACTGATGAATTTGGATCTGCGGTGGCGTATAGAGTCCTTTTTTCTTGTACCATTATTATGCCCCTTGAAAATACATAGCGCTTGTCATTACATTTTTCGGAATGTGTTTGAGCTGGCACTTCTTCTTGCGTTGTTCTTGTGATCGCGCGGCCGGGAATCGTCGTGAGTGTCCACTGGGCCACCGTTCTTCTTCTTCCCTTGCGGAACGAATGTGACCGCCTTCTCACCGTAGGCATTTCCACGGTGCGTCTTGCTGACGCGGCCGGACTTTTGCACCCTGGCGCCCAGAACAGTGTCCCGCTCCTGTCCCTTCTGGTTGGAAGACGAGATCTTCATCTGGTACTCCTGTGTAGCCTTCTTACCCAGACCCTTGGGACCCTGGTCCACAACAGGACGAGCAGCAGCACTGACACCAACCTCGTGAGTATCCTTCGCGGCGACCTTGGTGCTGGGGTTAAGAGCGCGGAACTCGTAGGTGGACTCGTCGACGGCGAAAGAGTCGTCCTCGAACATCTTGGCGAAACGGTCGTCGCCGAGCAGACCAGCCTTCTCGTCGACAACCTCTCTGTTCTCCTGCTTCTTGAGGAGCTTGTCGGCGAGCTTCTGGTTGACCTTGACCTTCTTGTTGCCTCTGATTCTGCTGGCGCGCTCTTTCTCGACCTTCTCCTTAATGCGCTTCGTCCTCTCCTCCTCCCAGACGTACGGGTTGGCGATGAGGCGGGCCTGTTCGTAGAGTTTCGACGCAACAAAGTAACCGTGCATGTACGGGCGGAGCAGGTTTGTCTTGCCAATGAGATGCTCCATGCTCAACTGCTTGAGCTCGGGCAGCGTCAAGAATTTGTAGTTGTCGTATGTCTCTGTGCGGACCTCCTCTGCCATCTCTTCGACCATGTTGTCGAGGAAAGAACACCATCTTGGTGCTGGGCCGAGACTGGGGATGAAGAAGGAGTGTTGAGACTTGCCCTCGTTGGCAGTCAGAAGCATACCGGAATCCTTGCACCAAGCCCTAGTATCTCATTAGTGACAATTCAAGGCAGGGCTGAGGTTTCAGAACTTACACATCGTTCAGGTCCACAAGGGGCTCAACTGAGGTCCATGGTGTACCATCAGTCTCGTCCCAGATCTTGATGATCTTCTTATCGGCAGACAAAATCTTCTTTTCTTGGGAAGCCGTTGTCATATGAATGAGCTTCTTGATCGGGAAGCCGTATCCTTGATCCTTGGTCAAGAGAGGAACTGGGCGACGAAGATCGAACAGCTGAACCATGCCCGTCTCGGAACCAGTGGCAATGGACAGTCCCGACATGCTGAAGTCCAAGGCAGTAATACCGCCCTCTTGGCAGCCTAGACGCGCCACTCTTGACTTCGATCTTGGATCCCAGAATTCCACCGTACCAATAGAGGTTCCGAACGCTGCAAGACCATGGGAGCCCTCGGCTAACGCTGCAGCGTTAACACTACCGGCGTCAATCCCTCCCTGAAGTCCAGCTCCCTCTTCATCACCGCCGACATCGATCTGGAAGGACTTCATGAACCTGCCAATCTCCAGGTTCAAGCGGAAGACTTCACCCAAGCCATCCTGATCCACTCCTACGGCTGGTACGAGAGCTTCTGTTGACTGCCGGTCGTAGAGCAAGTCTCTGCCGTAACGAGGTATGCGAATCTTGTAATGGCAGCCCATCGGGGTGTGAAACTCGAGTTGTCGGTCATCCTGGAGGAGAAGAGTCTTGGAGTAGTCGGAGGAGAGGATCGTCAACTTCTCTGTAAGAGAATTTGTGTGACGCGCAAATGACAGAGACAGTTGCGGGAGGTTGTGAACATGAATCTGAGGCTTATATGTTCCTGCACTGACAGCCCAGTCACCATCTTCACTGACGCGAATGCAGGTGCTGGCTTCCTCGAATTCGAAATCCTGGAGAAGCTCGACTCGGCTCTGGTACTCGGCGTCGTTCTTGAGCGATCGCTTTCTTCGCCTTGCCAGCCAATCCGGCAAAGGTCTGGCAGTCGATGCACCGGAGACGGTGTAGACCGGGACGGTTCCTGGGTTCGTCAACTGCATCGTGTTTGTCGGAGACCGCTGGTAAAAATTGTACGTGCTGGTGCTTCGCGATGATGCGACTAGGACTAAAGGAAGAGCGGCCGAGGGGACTTTTTTTTTCTTGCCCAAAAAGTTCCGATTAGATAAGAGTCCCTGGCTGCCCGGCCGGCCAGGTGGTGGGGGGCCCTCACCTTGGCTGGCGTGAGGTAAGCCTCGGTGAGCGGGTGGATGATTAGCTAAGTTCTTTCCGAGTTCCAGACTGCCCCACTACATTGCGTTAGGTAGCTACCCAGGGGCTTGAGCTGATTCAATTGGTCAAAGCATCACCCGCTGATTCCCAGCAGGACCCTATTAGTGCATTCAGCCGCGTGAATCGGGGCTGTCTGCGTGTCAACGACAGTGCTGGATTTCCGGTGGTTTACCGACCTAATCAGCCTTAACAAGGAACAAAGTAATCAAAGCGAGCACCTCAACTCTTCGACAACGAATCCAACAAATTTTGAACACAAACAACACCCAAGTGTCCATTATCGTACAATCAGTCGACAAGATATCTCTATCCGAATCCGCTTGATAATCTCGCAATTGTCCTGGACTCGGTTGATGCCGAGAAGCCGGTCCCTTGGTCGCGCTTCCGACCTATGGAGATGGAGTCGATGACTTCGCGAATTCAGCCAAATAACCGTATCAAAATCTCTTCCAGTCGCATAACAGATTCCAACAGATGCCGTAACGAACCATTTCTTTTATGACTGCCGGCCTACAGCTTTGAACCGGCTTCTGCGGCCCCTGGGGAGCTTTAGCGATTGAGAGTTGATGTTGCGACACGGAACACATCCCGCCGTCGCGAGACTCGACCGTCGATATGGACACGAGTGAATACGATACTAATACTCTATTAAATGTTTGTATTGATAGCTGGACAGAGCCGATTGCAATTACTGACCACCTCCGCCCAGAATAACATTTCCACAATCGTTTACCGAGTTTACGAACCCTCTCCTGAACAGGCGTCCAGCTTTCCTTCAATCGCCGCCGATGTCGAAACCGAATTGAGGGCCCTTGGCCACATTGTATACTACGATGCAAACAGACGAGTCTTGTGGTATTTCCACATCCCAGGCAAAGATGCGGAGTCTGGCGACGATACTCAGAGGGGTTTAGACAGTAGTGTCACCGTTGCGGGCGCAACATTGCTGATGGTTGACGAAGGTTCTTTTGAACCAATCAGTCTTTTCAAGGGTCGTGCCCAAGGCCAGCAAGCCTCGAATACACCAACAAGCTCTTCGTCAAGCAACTCGGCCCTGGACCTATCGCTGCGGAATCCGCAGATGTCCGGACCGCCAAGCTCCTCCGACCCCGATTCCAAACCCCCGTCGGCCGGTGCACTCGATTCTAAGGGCGCAGGCTCTGTTCCCATAAAGGAGGCATACGAGCAATTCATTACGGCTGTTCTGTCAACAACCTCGGCATCCTTTTGCAACCGTGTATCGGCAATACCCCTGAACCATCGAACTGTTCTACTACCTTCCAAAGTCACAAGAGATGGACAGGCCGAGAGAGCTCAGGACACGGAGGCTGCAGTTGTGGGAACATTCCGGATATACCTCACCACAACGGGCGCGCTTGTCATGAGTTTATGTTTGTCCTGCTGCGAGGGTCTCTTGTCTGTGAACGAACCATCTAGTCCGAGTCAACTTGCACTAGGCTCTCAGATATTGGCTGCCCCTTTCGGCGTTCTAGCAAACTACCAGGGGCTCGTTGGTGGAGGCTTATCGTATCCCGAACTTGGTCTGGGACAGACGCCGGATGCCCAACTTTGGAGGAATGCGGACGCTAGATCCTCACAATGGAGAGAAACCTGCATCAAAATTCTCCAATCCCGTGGGCTGTCTCCTACGTTACTACAGTCTTGTCCTTGGATCGCATTGCAAATGCTCCGGCGAAAACCTGGCGAGTCTAAGACCGAAGGGAAAATGACGCCACCTTCCGCTATGGCAACAGTATCATGGCCAGCAGTCCTTTGTTTCCGCAAGAAGTCTGTCATGCTCGCGCGAGGTAACGGCCTGGGAGACTCTGTACTTCTGGCGCAAGACGAGACATCCGACTTTCTTAACGAGGCCAGAAGCTGGTTTCAGCTGGGCGTGGACAGGGATGAAAAAGTCACCAGGAGGAAGAAAGAGAGGGAAGCTGCGGCATCAAAAGAGACATCGGCAGCAGCTCCAACACACCAACCAAACGGGCATTCACCACTGGGGCTAAGACGAGCTAGCAATGCGGCAGCTGCGGGTGCTATGTATCCGACACCGCCAGATGGAGTTCAGAATCCCCTGGGTATCACGCCTTCAATGGACGGGACGACCTCTAGCCCAGGTGCCCCTGGAATCACAATGGCAGTTGTCGACGTAGATGCCACTATGACAGATGCAACCGCACACGACGCAACTACGATGCATGGCACTCTACACCATGATTCCTACGGTGACGGCTGGCACTCGAACGAGCATGCAAACGAACACACGAACGAGCATTCCAACGAGAATGGGAAAAGTCGAGCGGACTCTTTTAATGGGGGAGACAACGAGGACAATTTGTTTGGCGACATGGGCCCGGACATGTTTGGGGATACCGACATTACTGATGCCGACTTCAACTTTTTTGACGAAGAGGGCGACGACCTCGACCTATCTGGCTTACCTGACTTGGGCATGCCTGACGGACCATCCATGCCTGCTGTCCTCCCAGTCTCTATGCCCGAGCCGGCAAAACTGATGATGCCTCCGGTAGAGGATTCCAAGCCCGAACCAAGTCCTCCAGTATTCACCAAACCGGAGCTGAAGCATGCGCGGAGCACACTGATGGATGAGGGAAAACAGCGATCCAACACAGATAGGGCTGGCGGTATCAAGAGAGAGTCAAGTCCTTTCGACCCGGATATTGTCTACAAAAGAGTTCGAGCTTCTCTAGCAGATATCCGCTCTGTTCCCTCTGCGACCCCTGCGCGGCAAGGCAGCATTTTCGACAGCGTGGACTTCGATCCAGTCTTGCCCCTTGTTAACAAGAAGTACGAGCAAGGAGGCCGATTTGATTGCAAGTCAACGCTCCAAGGCCTACCGCAAGAAACCAACAACCAGAGTCCCCATCAGGGGCCGCCTACGACCGACTACCTACGACGACACGGCAAGGGAAGGAAGCCATTCAAACAACCAGAACACACGAATGCCCTGATACGAACTATCACGGGCAACCTCGAAAACAGTTCTCTCATTGCAAGCCCCGGGAAAGGCGACGACCTTGCATCTGACGCCGATGACATCAGCCTGGTATCAGACCAAGACGACTCGAGCACATCAGAAGACGAGCCGACATCGCCTTTTAAGTCAAGCATTCGAAGACTGAACTTGGATGACGACGTTGTGTCTCACGTCACTTCTCTGAGAGACATTGAGTCTGTCGAGGATTCCGATCCGACATTAGCTTTGGATCTCCCAAAGCTAGCCAAGGCCGAAGCTTCAGAGATGCTGATCACGAGATATTTTGAAGATGCAGAGTCACTGCCTATTCATCTTTCACTCCCGGATGAAGATACCATCACCATTGCTCAGATCGTCACTGAGCAAGCTGTAACTGGGAACTTGAGAATACGCGACGCGCATGCGAATACACTGCACACGGCAATCATACCGGAAACCCGGCGACAATTATCCTCGCTAGGTCGGACCGCTTTACAAGCTTTGCGAGAGGTAATTCCTGCTTGTCTGGGGGAGTTCAACACGTGCAATTTCAAAGGCGTGGTCGAGATTCCTGACGTTCCTTTGCTTGGACCTCCCAATAGACTCCATCCGAGGCCGGTCAATCCGCGAGATAACAACGCCGAGCCGCCGAAGCCGAACAACCTCTTCCAAATCCCAGCTCCTCACATGGAACTTCGACGTGCAGAAGCTAGACTGTCGGTCTTGCCAGCGAGTGTTCAGTTCTGGGAAAGCTTGGGGTTGGGTCCTGCTCAAGGCACAAAGGACGTTAACGTTGTATGTGTCTTCCCCCACTGGGATGGAATGTCGGATGTCGCCACCGCCTTTTTGGACCGCATGCGAAACGTTTACGAGCTCCTCAAGTTGGGCTCCTTCGAACGCCTTGCGACCAGTTCTAAGGTGACTGATGGGCTGCTACCCTACGAAGTGGATAAAATCGCCACTTCTCCAGGAACCGTCAGTCCTCATATAGTGGCCGGCCTGGGTGACCGAATGGAGGCACTCAACCAGGGGCTGATATCGGCCAACGCCTCGGAGAAGAACTATGTGGTATACTTCGTATATCCTCCAGACCATCCTGGGTCCATCGTCGAGGCTTGCACTGCTTTTCAACAACTCTTCGAGATGCACAAAAGAACTCTGACGGACAGGCGGCAGACCCCGGTCAACGAACTGGTCTTGCAACTTGTGCCCCTGGACTTTCTGACTTCTTCTACGGGAATAGTAGAGCCGACCCCCAGCGATGCAATCAAGTTGGCGATAGAAACATATGACCGCTGTACACTGTTTGGCGGACCGATGCCGTCACCGGCCATTATGCTTGAGCAGTCGCTACCTAGAGGCATCGACTTCAAGCTTTCTAATCCATCTTCATCGTCTCTGATGCATGAGAACACTTGCATTCACATCGCTTACGCTCAGAGTATCGATGAAAGATGGATTACCGCGGCGTGGACTGACAATAGGGGGTGCCAACAGATGACGGCATCTTACAACCTTGGCCGCAAGGGCAAGGCGCTGTCTACATCGCTCAATGACGTCTGCCACGGGATATGGGAGACCACTCATGACTTGATTTCCAAGTGGAAAGTCCACTGGCGAGTCATCATCTCCAAGTGCGGATTCATGGATGCGCAAGAGATTGGATTCTGGCAGGGTCTAGCTCAAACGGAGTCGGTAGCAACGATCAGCCTGACTTTGATCTCGGTGGATACCAACCCATCCATGCAGTTGGTTCCGCCGGCTATCAAAGTCCCAGCAACGACATCCTCGGCCTTCTACACGACGCCCGTGTCCACTCCTCAAGCATCGATAGTGTCGCCAGAGCAGAGTGGCACTCCGGTAACGCCCATGAAAGAAAACACAACAAGCGCCGCAACTCCGGGCGGAACACCTGGCGACGGTAATACCGACCCGGCTGAGGGAGATGCTATTCTCCTCGACGTGACAGACCAAACCTGGGGCGCCGTACTAGCGCATCGACTGAGCAACTCTTCTTCGTTGGGCGAGCTGAACCCGGCCCTCATCAGCGGCTACCTCGTCAAACGCGGAGGAACGAAACTCGAAGACCCTCCTGTTGTCTTGGAGGTCAACATTGTGCATGCAGATAACAACCCGCGTATGTACGAGCCTCTCATGCGGGAGATGCTCACCTACTTCAGGGGTCTTGGAACCTTAGCTCGTGCGAGGGGAATTGTAGATAGGGGGACGGACATACGTCCTTGGCACATCGCGGCGGCGGAGAAGGGCGTCCGGGCATTATACCTTTTGATGTGATTTGGTACACGGCGAGGTTGCTTTGTAGGGTAGACTTCTTTATTGGCTTTGAAGGGGGTGGGTTAGAACCGGCGTTTCGAGGCGTTGGGCCATGCGATAGGAACAATGGTAGCACAGAGGAGATTGCATGAGACCAAAAATAATTGACCACGGCGTCGACATTGTTGGTATCGTCGTTTCATTTTGCAAAGTGTTCTATCCTGGCGATTACGTCCATTTACAGTTGATGCCGGGCAAATTCTCTCTATCCACGCCATTTTCACGGTTGCTTCTATATACGCTCACGCTCATATTCCTGCACGTATACCAATACTTAGTCGTGCCTACTACCTAAGTCCCATTTTTGAAATAACTTGAAAATCAAACAATACTGATGAGGCAGTATAAGACCCCTCCCTCAGTTCCAGAACCCAGGGAACAAGAACTCGACATTCTTCATAGCCTCGGGGCTTCGGCCCTCGGGCTTGGTCATGAACTTGACGGCGCCCTGAGAGGCGCCCTCCCACTGCTTGGCGAGGACGAGCTCGCCGCTCTCCTGCTTGGACAGCTCGTCGAGAACGCCGCCGACGAGGCGCTTGGCGTTTTCGCTGTTGGCGGCCATGTACTTCATGACCATGGCGACGTCGACGTCGTCAAACGAGTGCCAGCAGTCGTAGTCGGTCGCCATGCAGATCATCTGGTAGGCCATCTCGGCCTCGCGGGCGAGTTTGGCCTCGGGGAGGGCCGACATGTTGATGACGCTGCCGCCCCAGGAGCGGTACATGTGCGATTCGGCGCGGGTTGAGAATTGGGGGCCCTCTGGTTTGGATTTCATTAGCACATTTTGCTTCTTCCTTCGGACTTCGTTATGTAGAATGAGCAGGGAGTAGAGAGGGAAAACTCACCCATGCAGATAATAGTGCCCTTCTCGTGCAAAACGACGCCCTCGCCCTGCATATGCGCCGCACACTTCTTGACAACCTCCGCAAGCCCCTTATCAAACGGATCCGCGAACCCAACGTGTCCCACGACGCCGCCCTCGAAGAACGTGAAAGGGCGCACGCCCTTGGTCCGGTCGATCACCTGATCGGGCACGACGAAGTCCATGGGCTTGATCTCCTCGCGCAGGGAGCCGACGGCGGAGAAGGCGATGACGCAGCGGACGCCGATGGAGCGCAGGGCGGCGATGTTAGCGCGGGCGGGCACCTCGTGGGGCGCAAACTGGTGGTGCAGGCCGTGGCGAGCAAGGAAGGCGATGGGGACGCCGTTGTGCTCGAGGATGCTGATCGGGGAGGAGGGCGCGCCCCAGGGAGTCGTGGGTGTGAGCTGGGCGACGGGGGTATAGCCTTCGAGCTTACCGAGGCCGGTGCCGCCGATGACGGCGATGTGGACGGGACCTGGAGGGTGAGGCGAGATGTCAGTCAGGCGTTTCAAGGTATTGCGCCTTTTGCTTGTGGTTTTGGGGCATTGGGCTGGGTCGGGAGGGAGGGGGAGCACGGGTGAAGCTTACGGTCAAAGGTGGTGGGGAGGTCGGCCATTGTGTCGTTTCTATCGATTGGTCGTGGGAAAATGGAGGGTATCTCAGGTAAATCAGGGAAAAGAAAACAAAAAAGCTGCGGTTAAGAAAATATCTAGAGGTGTAGATCGGCGCAAAAGCTTGGGTAGGTTTGCTATGCGGTCGGAGTCTGACATCTTTTTTCGACCCCGCCGAAATTTACCCCGCCATCCACCGTCCTCCCGTTTCTTCAGTGCCCCGCCATTGCGTCGTCCCGGGCATCCCGCTTTGTAAACACCCCACCACATATTCTCGTCGTCCGCACCACGTGTTGTGGATCGCGGCAGCATGTCGTTGCTTGACGATTTCACTTGGTGTATGTAAGGTGTACTTCGTCATCAAGCCACTGATGGCTGATGGGAAGATGACCGCCTAGTCCAACCATGGCCATCGAGGGACGGGAAATACAGACGCCTCTGAATGACTTGAATTAGGGAAAAATTGAAAGAGAAAAAATGAACCTGACCGATCGAGAATTCGGATGGTCGGAACTTTGATGTAACCCAGAGACTTCATGATCTACCTAGTCAAAGCATTAAGGCCCTCTACCTCTCGACCCTCAGGCCCGCTGTTGAGAAGCTACGGACACAGGGCTGTTGCTAAGGGGCAGGGGCAACGGGGGAGGAGGAGCATCAAAGAAGGAGCAGAGGGTCATGGAACGTCTCTCTTTTAGATGCTCTTTTCATCTGAGGTATCTAGCTGTCTCTCTCTAGACTTTTCTTTTGCTGGTCTTCATCCGAACTCCGACCCATACCGTAGTAGCACGTACAGATAAAAAACGCTTTCTTATGCAAGAAACAAATAATCACTGGCCCTCGGCCGGGCGCACCGGCAGCTCCGTCTCCTTGGCAGCGCCGTCCTGCGCGGCGGGACCCTTGCCGCCGCCGGGGTAGCGGGAACCCTTGTCCTTGGGCTGCTTCTTCTTCTTCTTCTTGTCATCCTCAACCGGGGGGTAGGCCCTCTCCGTGACCTGCTTCCACTCCTCGGAGGCCTGGAAAGCTTGCTGGATAGGTGCCAGGAGCTCGTTCAGGGCTTTGGTCACGGCGGGCTTGAGCAGCTGGGGTGTCAACTGTATGGGATGTCAGCCTGTTTCCAATATCTCGTCTCTTGTCGTATGCTACTTACCACGTCGTTCTTGTAGTCTTCGTGCATTTTTGTAATCTCGGTGTAAACCAGGGTCTCGAGGCCGTCGCGCTCACGCTCGACACGGAATTCCTTCTTGCCCTTCAGCGCCGCGGCGGGCAGCAGGACGTACTCGACGAAAGACAGGACACCGTTGCCCTCAGCAACCTTGGGCACACACTCGGCCTTGCGGAGCTTCTTCTGGACAACCTCGGGGGCATCGAGAAGGTCGATCTTGCTGTCTGTAGAGCTTGGCTTAGCATTTGGTCAAGAAGCTCGGCAGCAATAACCTTACCAGGATCACTTGCGCTCATCTTGCCACCGTTCAGACCAGGAACCATGGGGTTCAACAGATGCGCGCGCACCTTGTATCCGACCTTGGGCAACCATTCAGTAGCAGCGGCGAACAGCTTTCTTTGATCCATGCCTATGAAATATTAGCCTAAGGACTCATTCAAGTTATTGACAGTTGAGATATACCTCCGAACTGAGCATCGACACCAAGGTGCTCCTCGTCGCAGACCTGGAGTACGGGGTACAGCAGACCACTCATGGGGGCGTTCTGTCACTATTGTCAGCCCAAGTCCAAACAACCAATTTTCGCAGGTATCCTCACGTCAGACTGCTTCACGACCTCGGCGCCAGCCTTCTTCGCATCTCTCTCGCTGATGAGTGAGCTCATCTTGTAAACATCCATGACGTATTCGGGGCTCTTCTGGTAGGAGCTGCCGAGGACGAACTTGAGCTTCTCCGTGGAGACGCCGACAGCGTTGAGGATGTTTGTGATGGCGAACTTGTAGAACTTAGCGCGCTGCTCGACGAGCTCGATGGGGGCCTTGAGGTTGTCGAGGAAACCGTGGATGTCGGCGAGGAGGACTGTCATTTCGCAACCGGCGGCGAGGAATTGCGCCAACTTGATGGCCGGGACGAAGTAACCACAATGAGGTCTGCCGGTTGTCGCGGTTCCTGCAACACGAAAGAAGGTAATGGTCAGCCAATGCACCGACGAAGAGTATCAGCAGTGTAGTTGAAATGTTTCTTACCCCAGTAGATCTTCGGGTTGCGTCCCTCGGCCAGGATCTTCTCGATGATCTCGGGGTTCATGATCTCGGCCAGGTTCTCGTTGATGAGGGCGAACCTCTCCTGCGCATTTGTACCTTCCGCCATCTTGTGTATGCTACAAGTTTCGTAAAGTGTGAGATTGAAGTGAGGATGCAACGGTGTTTGGGAAGTCGAGGTTGTGAAGGCTTCACAGCGTCGAAAGCAGGTATCGCGAGGGTCGTGGGACGATAGTATTCGGAGTGAGTCAAGCCGTGGCTCGTCGCACAAGTGGCCCAAATTCGCGTCGAAGAGCAGACACCGCAGCGAGATTACCCCGCCGAGGGGCGGACGTCGGGGGCCAAGTTGCACACGGCCGATAGAGGGGTCTACGGTGTCTGTCGCCCCTGCCATTGGCCGATTTAGGGGGCTCGATGGAGGGGTCTTGGGTACCTCAGCCCGGAATTTCACAGGGCTCTTCAGCCTAGAACAGCAGTTGTATCCCGACTCATAAAACGGGATGATTCAGACATGATGCATGAATTTTTTCATGCCAAATCTAGACTTTTACGATTCCAAAACTACTCTCAAGTATGATTCACGTGCAGGGCTCTTAGAGTAGTTCTAGAGTGAATCCTCAATGAATGCATTCAATGATCACAAGAGCATTCCATAATGGTGGAATATCTCAAAATGGCAGCTGGTCTGTGTGTATTTGCTTACCAATTTGTAGTGTAGAGGTACTTTTCGGTGCGGACAGCGGAAATTTTCCACAGTGACAATCCAACATCCCGGCGCCGCCACCACTCGAGGCACTCCTCCACTGAAATCTTCTTGAGAATATTCTAAACTGTGCATGCATTTCCAATATTTTTCGCCCACGGTCTTCTTTCCCACTCATTACTAGCGGATACCCCTTCGGCAGGCGCAGAGCCTCACCGGTCTTTACCTCTATGCTTCAAGTTTGAATGCCCGACCTTCAACGTCATACTTGCTCTTGATCATTCATCAACCTACAACACCATGGCGGCCACACCGCCGCCGTCTCTGCCGGACCTCGACCTCGAAGATGGCACTCCGGGCTATGAGACCATCGAAGAACGATGCTTCTCAGCCGCCCTCATCTGCCTCGAGGGCCACTATACCATCCCACCCATGGGCCCTCAAACCGCCGCACGGGTCTCATCAATGATTGCCAAAACCCTCGAGAAGACTCACACCTTTAAGCACGTTAGGTAGGTGCCCTCAACGCGTGGCTTATTGTAGTTTCGTACCATCTCATTTTCCTAACAAGAACCAGGGAAACGCTTTCAAGAAACGTCGAGATATGGATCTGGTTGACCAAGATCTTTGGCGCCGCCATCCCCAGTCTCACCACGCGCTCAGTGGGCCCGCTGTCGAGCCTCAACGATCCCGAGAAGGGTGTCACCCCTCAGGAGAGTACTGCTCTCATTGTGAAAAACCACCACAGTCTCAAGGACGATCTCTCCATCTTGAACAAGCTCATGCACATTGCGAGAAACCTGCTGGTGACGTCGGAGCCAGAGGTACCCCAGGACATTTGCGCCGCGGTTCACTTTGACCAGATGGTTTATCAGACCATCATACTCTGTGTGAACGTCACGAGCAAGGGTTACGATGGCGAGATCTTGGACGAGTCTTCAAGGGCCAAGCTGAACGAGATCACCGACATGTGTAAGTCCTTATAGCCCTCACAGACGAGTACGCCGCTGACGTTTCACAGACAAAAAGCTCCTCGTCACATCCCTTCAACAAGCCCACAACTGGACCGCCAAGAACGACCGCAACAAGATGTCGTTCTGGTACGACGTGCTCTTTGACGAGGACGCGCAGCTCGACGACCCGCAAGAGGGTATGGGCGACGGCTCCGGCTTCCGCGTCGACATTGCCAAAACGGAAATCCAACACTGGCTAGAGCGCAACTCGCGAATGTGCGAGACCGCACGCAGACTCCTCACAGACTACTCCCAGAACAAGTCGCACAACCCCCCGGGCGTCCTCGCACCTATTGCGCCCCTGGCGTGGAACTGGTTCCCCGAGGGCCAGGTCAAGGTCCGCGCCGACAACTACGAGGAGGGCGAAAAGGTCAACCCGAGATGGGACCCCGACATCGAGGACAAGTTCGAGCAGGATCGCGCCTATTGCCGCGTATCCCGCGAAATCGACACCTGGTGGATGCGCGCGCGCGACGTAAACTACGACGGCTGGGCGGTCGCCATGCCCAACGTCGAGTTTGCAAAGACAAGGACGGAGCATTGCAAGAGCAACCTTCTCAACCGATACACGCCCGTCATGCGCACTGAGGAGCATGAGGTCGTCGAGGTTGACGAGTCCGAACAGGACCTCGGGCCGGAAGAGGGCTCCGCGGAGGAGTACGCCGAGGGCTACGACGACATGATGGACGACGAGGACATTGACGATGACGAGTCGTACGGCGAGGGCCCACTGACGGGCCTCCTGACCGAGATCCCCAACATCCTCGACCCGAAGCAGATCGAGGCCCTCCACATGATAGTCAAGTCCTGCATCCTCGACTCGGCCGGCACGGGCCTCACCCGCGCAGGCGAGAACCTCCAAAAGACGCGCTGCCGCATGTTCCTAGCCCTCGACTGCGGCAAGTCCCTCCTCCGCGAGATGCTCGTCTTCATCGCCGTCTGGGAGAAGGACGAGCAGTCCCTCATTTTCCAAATCACCTCGCAGCTCATCGAGGCCCTCCACCACTCGGCCCTCGTTCCTTACGCCTGGAACTCCCTCCGCATCCCAAAGGACATCATATCCCCGGCCCAAACCGTCCTCCTCCGCCTCGTCAACCACATCTTCCGCAGCCGCATCAGCAATCCCCCACAAGACAAAAAGGACCAGGAGCGCGACGTCAAGCTCGTCATGTTCTTCTTCAGCTTCTTCCGCAGCCGCATCGTGCCCGAGTGCGTCGCCCTCATGCACCTCCAGGCCCAGATTCGCGAGGACAATGTAGACCCTGCCGAGTTTCCCGTCGACACATGGGACATGGAGCGTGCCAAGGACGGCTTGGCGCAGTACCTCGATTTTCTGACGACCGCCTCCGAGATTGCCGAGTCGAGGAAGAAGCTCATCGAGTGGGAGGCCGTCTACGACCTCATCACCCTCCTCAACGGTCTCGAAGCCGGCGTCCCCAAGAAACCCCTCGTCGACGCCGTCCCCTCCCGCAACAGACCCCCGGCCGCGGCAGCAGCATCCCCCTCGGACCACCAACAACCCCACTCCTCCTCGCAGCAACCCGGCTCCGGCTCCGGCGGCGGCTCAACTCCCATCATAGAACGCCCCTACTCAACAAACGACTCCCTCCCACCCTCCCCTCCACCCCCCTCCCTCTCCGACCCAGCCCACAAATACCCCTGGTCCGGCATCAAAGGCCAAATCTTCACCATCCTCGCCACGCTCCTCCAACCACCGCCCGGCCACTCCACGCCCGGAAACCCAGATGTACAAACCCAAATGGTGAATCACAACGGCATCGTGCCCCTTCTAAACTGCTGCGCCTACGACGATCACAACCCCTTTGCTAAGGAGCGCGTCACGATATGCCTCAAATGGCTCCTTGACGGCTGCGAGGCCGCAAACAATTTCTTCCGCGAGCTCGTCAACCTCGCGCCGGCCCCGAATCTGCGCCCGCCGCCTGGTGGGACGACTGTTTCGACGATCCGTGTTGATGGGATTCAGGGGGAGGTTAAGGTGCAGGTGCGGTCTAACTCGGCGCCTGCCGGTGACGGGGAGGAAGGTGGCGGTGGTGGGAAGCAGCATGTTCATGATCCGTATGGGTTAGCAGAGGGCGCGGCCAAGATGAATTTGAGGTCCAACCATAGCAGTGAGCCCTTTAGTGAGGACGACTTCATGTAGATGGGATGCTTTGAGATGGGGCTTGGGATTACTCAGGAATCAATTATTGGCGTTCACAAGGAATTCAATGGTTGAATGGAAGTATGCCATCATTCAAAAGAGACGAAAGGGAAATTCAAATAGTTTTCATGTTTCATTTTCTGTCTTCTATCACGTAGGACCCAACGAAACGAGTAAAAACGTCAAACCGAAAGACGATGAAAAACACAATACAACTACACTCTACAACTAAAGTACTTGAATTCCAAAAGAGAGAAAGAAACATCAAGTCAAAGTCAAAGTGGCAAGAACAAGGGCAAGTGCTAAGGGGAAGGGGAAGTGGGAAAAGGTGTGTTTTTGCCAAGTTTTAGTTGTCCTGTGATCCATTCAGACTGCAAAATTCGATCCCTATTTCCATCAAAGACCAGCTTTCAGAAACCTCCCTCGCTCCCTTCCTTCAGCGCGCCCAGTCTTCTTTTGTGTTCGAGAGATTGAAGGACAGTGTAATGTTATGTGTGCCACCGCCCAAATTTCAAAAGCCAAACAAGCCAAACCGCCAAGATCCCATCTTTTTTCGTTTTCTCTTACAGATAGGAAAAGAAGCATTACAAAGAAACATTACAAAACCATTCCAAGTGATCCAAGCCCTAGGAAATATAAGCCAAGAGAGAGGGGGTACCAAAGGAGAGGGGGGGAGGACAAGGAAAAGGCCAAGGCCGGGGCAGCGTTTCTCCTACTCCTACAGCCCTGAGCGATGGAATCCGCAGTGTAAAGCATTGTGATACGGAACAGACTCCCGTCGCTCCGGTCTCACCGGACGTTGCGGAGCCGGAGCCAGAAGCCGATTTGGCATCATCCGAGGATCCGCACCCTGCTGCTGCCGATGGTAGTGCTGCTGCTGTGGCTGGCGATACTGCTCGGGATGAACCACGGCAGAATAAGCCTGCGGAGGATGATGCCCCTGCACAGATAAAGCCTCCGCCGCCCCAGACATCTGGAAGAACGAGTCTCCCCCCAGATCCGCGGGAGGGCTGGGAAGGGCAGCCTGGTCCCACGGCGAGGCCATGCTCCGCGGCACCTGAGTGTCCCAGGACTGACGCTGCCGGTGATGGTGTTCTAGCTGTTGCTGGTGTTGATGGTGATGCTGCTGCTGATGGGTGTACTGTTGATGCAAGACCGGCTGGCTTTGACTTTGATTCTGGTTCTGGCTCTGGCCTGCGTACGTGTACTGATGGCTCCCATACGACTGGGCAACATCCACGTCGTCGATCCTACCGCCGCCGTTGTCCATCTCAGACTCAGGGCTCATGCTGCCGCTACTGCTGCCATAGCTTTGCGGACTCATTGGATAATTCTCCTGGACGATGACCACGGCGGAGGCGGCGGAGGCAGCGGAAGGGGTGTACTGCTGCTGCTCGGGGTACTGCTGATAGTCGCGGCTCTGACGGCGGGCGGTACGCTTCTTACAGTTGTACTTTGACAGGTCCCACTGGTCAAAGTGCTGGCGGTACGATCTTGTCCTGGAAGTTGAAGGCTGTTAGCTGTTTTTGCCTCTAAGGCCCTTTCTCTCCAGGTCTTGACTAGATGATCTTGAGGGGCGTTGAAGCATTTTCCTCATGCCCCATGGATTAAAGACACCGGGAATAGGACTCGACGACCAGGATGGAAAGGAAAGGTAGTCATCATATCAGAGCCAACGTCCGTCCTGTGGGTTGCCGGGCAAAAAAAGGGGGTTCCGTGGGGTTCAAGAAAATCCAAGACGTATCCAAATGGTCTGAAAGAAAAGGAGGGAAAAGAAGAAGATTTAGACTGACGAAGCCTTGAAGTTGTATTTCTGCTGCATAATCTCTCGGACCTCATCCAGGGTACGATTCTCTTTGATGTAGAGCCTCGCGATAACGTCCCTGTGCTCTTTCCAAGCTTTCGTCATTGTCGTTGGTTAGGATGGTATTAGGTGAACGAGGAAGGAAGCGGGATAGAGAGTCTTGTGAAGAGGAAAGGGCATGCGCTACTACGGAGTCATTGGAGTAGAAAGACCAAGGCTGGATGGACCGCGATGAGAGGCCAAGCGGTGAGCTTCATTGAAGGATGATAGGGTGAATGGTTCCAGGATTATTTGATAGACAGTAGTGCCTTCGCCCCGAGGGAATGGGAAGACAGCTATACAAGCTGTATATAGACAGGTCACGATGGGTAAGGCTGGCCAGTACTGCCACTGCTATCATTCGTAGGATACTATAATCGCAGTGTAGGCACATCGCCATCAGCGTTTCTTGTCCAGGGCTGACGGACAAACTTTTCTCTCTCTCGCTCACCTCTGCCTTGAAGAAAGCGGACACTTGTTCCGATTTCCAGGACTCCTGCACCTTGTAGGTGAGTCAAGGTGCACTTTGCCGTCTGGCGAATCTTCATTCCCCCTGGCAAGAAAGACAACGCATTCTATGACCGATAGCATGGCCATCGTGGAGAATCATGATGACGGGCCGGGGCGTAAGTCTGCCTTCCTCTAATCGGCGCACAGCTTCAAGGGAGTGAGGTAGTGGAGGGGGAAAGGCTAAGCCCGCAACGTAGGGGGTGTCTTGTCTTGTGCCACACCACCCCACGAGCAGCCCTTCACCGAACTTTCAGCGAAGGTGTGCAACGTTTGCCTACACTCCGCAGATACCCCCTTGCGCAAAAGTGCAGAGAGTCTTGGTTTCTTGACAGCTTGACCGGCAAAGGGAGCGCTTTTTCTTCAGTTGTGCCGTTGACTCAACGCGATGCCCGCATTCCTCGGCAGACGACACCAACGTGGTGTGCGCCAAATACTGCATCAAATGTGTTGCTGGTGTCAACAGAGACGCGGGAGTATTCTGCACTTATAAATAGGGCTCCGCGATGAGGTGCAGACACCCACGCGGTGTCGATGGTGGTATCGGTGCCTTGTCTCGGAGGTGAAGGAGGGTGGTGAGGCACAGCCTGCGCCAAGGCAGACATGCTACTAGCCGGCCTCACCTCGATCTTCTAGTTACTGTGTGTGGTTAACCCGAGGAGCTCAAACTCGATCAAGTTCCCTGTGAACAAGTTCGGAATCGGACAAAAGTCAATGATCATAATTGTTGTTTGATTAGGGCTCGCTATATTATATAACCATAAATCAGAATGGTATCCTCCAAGCGCATGTGCTGGAAAGGGCTGCCGAAAAGCAACCGGGATGTAAGGCTGTGGTGTTGCGCAAAAGTGATGTAACCAATCAGGTGTAGTGGCGTGGTCAAGTCGAAGTCATATGAGGTGCGTTTCTCCGCCCCAGGAGGCTAAAGGACAAGGCAACCAGAGGTGCGCAAGTCTCGCCCCAGCAGTCGCCTCACTTTGTTGGGAAAATAGGGCTGTCGAAAAGGACTCTTCTCGAGGTATCGGGCTAGGTCTGCAAGTGTAGGGATCTCAGAAACTGAGGGTGTCCTGTGAATCCTTAGATCTTCTTCTCGTCAACAGGCGCCGTTGCAGCTGGAGCAGCTGCGGGTGCAGCCGCGGCGCTGGAGGATGGGCCGTCAACCGGGCTCATGAGCTCTGGGCTCGCGGTAGGGTCGTGACCAGTGACACCGGCCTCTTGTGCCGAGTGGCCGGAATGAGTGGTTGCGGCTGGGGCGATGGAAGGCATCTTCTCCTCCTGGGCAACGACGGGGGAAGTGGGCGTAGAATTAGGCGCCGCGGGCCCGGTGGCTCCCGCAACGTTCTTGATAATCTCAAACCACTTTTGAGCCTCATCGGGGGTGTGGGCCTGGAAAGCTAACTCGGACGATCCAGTAAGCTTTGAGCTAATCGATTTGCTCTTATCCTTGCCCTTCACGTTGAACTTGTTTCCGTTCGGAAGTCCAATAACAGCGTCTGGCAGGTAGATGGAAAGCTCCGGCTTGGGGTCAGCGCGAGTGTTGTCATTGTCCTTGAACTCGTGCAAGAATTTGGTCGGAGTAACCACGTAGTAGCCGGTAGAGTAGCCCCAGGAAAGCTTGTTACGCGACTTGCGTTCCAGGGAACCCTCAATGAGAGGCTTGATGGCGGCGTGATCCATGTTGGGGAAGTTGATGGCCTCGACGGAACGCGGGGGGTCATTGGGATTGACCAAACGATCACCGCTGCGGGTGATGAAGCCGTTCCACTCGAAATCACCGGGGACTCTCTGGATGGCACCCAGCATGTCGGAGTAGAGAGCGCGGGTCTTCTCAGCCTGACCGCCGGTGAGCTGGATAAAGGCCTCCATAGCTTGTTGGACGACTTCGATAACATGTGCCTCGAAATCCTTAAAGTTGTTTTGGACAGCAATCAGGTCGTTGCGGTTGTTGTTCTCCTCGAGAACCTGCTTGTGCAGTCTGTGCAGGACACCTCGGTGGACAACGTAAGGGTCATCGGTTCCGTGCATCTTGCCGCCGGCGGACTCGAAGGAGGCGGTCTGGGAGCCCAGAAGCTCAATGTGCTTCTGGGTGGTGTTGCGGGCCTTCTCGACCTCCTTGGCACCCTTCTGAGCGCCGTGCGCCAGCTCCTTACCCTTGTGCTTGATCTCCTTGTGCAGGCGTTCGAGGATCGGGAGGATAGACCCCTTGATGGTTTTCTCCGTCTCGAGATTGGTGTTGATGATCGCCTGAGTGTTGGAGCGCATGTTCTCGAAGTAGGCCGCGATACCGCCAAGGCTCTGGTCAAAGTGGTGGCCCTCCTTCAAGGGATGGGAAATGGCCTTCAGAGCCTTCTCGTATTCTTTGGACTGGGCTTTATGGATCTTCTCGACGGCTCCGATGTAGTCCTCCAGGTATCCAACAGAATGCTTCCATGCTTGGAGTCGCTCCGCGAGGAGACCAGCTGTCTGTACGTGGCTGTCAGCATTTTCCATTCTGAAGGGTAGTTGTATAGCTCCTAAGTGTTTGTTGGGCGCGGGGCAAGGGTAAATCGTATATACTGCGGATCTTTTCTTTGACGCTGAACAAGGTAATTGATTCACTTACGCTGGTAGGATCGACTTCAGGAACGGCATCGTCGCTGAGGACAGAGTTGTTGGTCATGATGGTCCCCGACCTCTGGGGGAGGTCCTTGGTGTCGGCCATGGTCGCGATGCGCAAGATCGGTTCGTGCTCGAGTGAAGTGGTATCGTGACTTCTAGGTTATGTGTGGACGGTGCGTCGTGGGTGTGCAGTTGGATTCGTTTCGTCCCAGCTCGTCTATCCGGTTGTAAAGATGGGAGAAAGAAAAAACAGTGAACCGGATGGGAATGGAAAAAGGCAAAAGAGGTTATATTGTGTCGGACATTACATGTGTCCCGTCCTTCCCCCTCGAACGCCCATTCCCCCCGCCAGTGACAGCTGGTAATTAAAACCCGCCCAAGCTCCTGCATCAAGACAGGTCGAATGACGTTCTCCACCACGCCGCCAGCGCAATCTTCCTGGTCTTAGCGGCCCCTGGCTTTCCATAATTCCTGCACCTGCACCGAGATTTGCTTGTATCGCACAAGCACGACCCTCCCGCTGGCCCCAATGGGCCCCCCAAAGGGTTGTGTACAAAGTACAGTGGGGTCGGTCTGGACCACCCCCTGTGACGATCTTGACATTTTTCCTCCTCCCGAGGGACGGCAACCGCAAATCCTCTCACCTTTTTATTGCTTCCTGCTTTCAGCTGAGCACTCTGGGTTATTGAGCTGTCACGGCTATGGTGCCACTGAGTCACTTTGTCGACCCTACCTTACCACGCTGAAATCCCCCAGTGGCCCCTTCTCAGCTGGTCCGGGGGTTGACCCTCTGCTAAGGTAGGCTCTCGCTCTTGTCCGTCTTGCATCGTCACAGTCGGGGGGTTCCCCCCTCGCGCGCTGAACGCACGCTAGACGGGAGGCCCATGAGTGATTTGGGGGCTTTTTATGACGTCAACAAGTCCCTTAGTTTCTCAACGCACGATGGCGCTAACCTAAGATGAGATGAATGCCCTCCTGTCTCACATACATCGGCCCATGTTAGCACTCAAATACAACACACCATATAAGAACTAACATATGCGTCGGCTTGGCACCAATCCCACGAGTGAACGACCACCAGGATACCCTTCTCAGAGAGGAATAAGCTTTCTCTCGTTTGCCTCCAGGAGTCCAGCGAACGTTGATGCCGACGCAGGTGACGGCCGCGATGACATGGGAAAACAGGGCTACAACCTGGGCATACCCGACAGGTTGGCATTGGGCAGACATCAAATGGCCACCAGCGATGACACTCATTGGTTCGGCCGTCTGAGTACAGCGCAAGAAAGTTGTGTCGTCGGAGTCCATTCCTGTCGCTGCATCACCAGCCTCTGACGTGCTCCCAAAAGATACTCACCAACCATTACCCATGTGATCCTTGACAAGGGGAAAGGAGCAAATAAAACATCTGGTCCACGAGCAGAGTACCACATAGGTTGGAGAAGACTGCTCTCTACGAGCGTGTAGTCTATTAATCCCGTCGACAGACCGCTAGTGAAGTCACTGTGCTATCGGTGGTAGGTAAGTTTTCGTACGCTTCGCAGCCTTCATTTACCTTACCTCATGCACTCCACCTATGTTTCCAGAACACCCGTGAATACTTATCGCTATCACATCAGCCCTTGAGAAATCATAAGATATCATCATGCTCAGTAGGTACTTACCGATATCTGAGACCGCTCAACTCGCTCATGTCGTAGGAGAGCAAACAAACGAAAAAAGAGAGAATATGAGGCTCTCCAAATAGGTACAGGCCTTCCCATCATCCACGATCACCGGTATCTCATCCTCCTAAACCCCCTAGATGATAACATTCGACCGGACATCGTGGGAACGGCATGATGGCCATCGTCATCACATCCAGCAACCAGCATCCCACCTTGGTCTTCCCGCGCCACAGCCACATCCAGCAAACACCACCACCACTTAAACTTTTCCTACTTCCCACCACCCCCAAAAACCCAGGGAAACAACGAAGAAGAAGAAAAATTACCCCAGATACGAACAATGTGACACCCAGTGACCCCCTCGCCATGTCGCTTTAGGCTAAGTTCATAGATGCTATTTTGGCTGCTGTAACCCCTCCATTTCAAGATTTCTCTTATCGGAGCGTCCGACATCGGCTGTGAGGGCAGCCATACCCACCGCTGCCGCACCGGAGGAGTGGAAACACCCACAACGCCGTGGCCGCCGTGCCGCCGCCACCACCAAGACCCCTCGGCATTACGAGCCTGTCCTCCGTTGCATGTGTTCATTTGTCGGATCCGGTGTTAGTGATGGAGGTCCAGACCGCAGTCTATTGAGTCTATAGTCAAGAGATGTCCGGCGTGAACTTTTGATAGACTTCACTAATCAGCAGTAAACAGATGTTGAAAAATCGAGTCTTGACTTTTTTTGTCATCTTTGGTATCTCGCAATCGACATGCCGCGCTCTAAGCGGTGGGTATATCGTACAGCCCTATTTGCCTTTCCCAATGTCGCCCCAGTAGTAGATCCCGTAAAGTATTATATCGTTCCGTATACTTTGTGTGTGTCTCCAAGCAGCCGATGAGTCCTGATGCCTCCAAGGCGCAAATCTATATCCTATAAAAAATCTCAAAAAGACCTAGCCCATGGGAAAGTATCCCATTCCAACCGCCAACGCCAATGCCATGCCCGAAATAGTGCTTGCTGCCCTCTATAGTCGTAATTTAATCAAGTGAGTATGATGTGAATCGCATCGTTGTGAAATAGCCCTAATAAACTCTCTCCCGTCCTTGGATGAGGTGAAGACGGCGGTCTTCTCCGCCACCCTGCACAGCATGGAGCAAGTTGGTCATGCTTTGGGGGCGGTGCCATGAGCGGTGCGAGCCGCCAGGAGTAGTCGGCTCGCTGCCGGCACCTTCGTGCTCGGGGATCATGCCAAGCGGGTCTGCGACAGGAACCTCGCTCGCGGGAGGCGTGTTGGGGGCGCTCATGGCAGAGAAGTAGTCGGGGAGCGCGTCGCTACTCGGGCCTCGCCGAAGGGGAGTCTTGACGGCTGTTGTGTAACTAGGCACCTTGCTTAGGGTAGCCATGTCAGGGAAGTCGAGGTGCTCAGGTGAGTTACGTCCTGAAGAGTGCGAGTTGGGGTGTTCCTCGGCGCTGTTGTGGCGGGTCAAAGCTGCCGATTGTGATTGCGAGTTTTCTCCCGTAGGGACGGATGTCGGGGCTGCGACGTCCTCCGTGATGGCTTTCAATGAGTTGAAAGAAGTGTTGCGGTTCGTGGGATCGAGAGACACGTTCTGGAGGCGATGTGACAGTGCGGCGGGAGCAACACCGTGGCCGTTCATCACGGCCAGAGAAGCAAGGTTCTCTGATGAGCCGGCGCGAGATTGCGCGTAGAAAGGACTGCTGAAGCCAGACTGAATAGCTGGGGTCTGGAAGCCGCTCATGTCGACGTCTTCGTAGAGTTGGTCGAGAACATGCTCGCCATAGCCGGGTGGTGCGATACGAGTGACTTCAGCCGTGGCCGGTGCGCCAGGAGCCTGGTCGACGAGAACTCCATGCTCGTCAAGAGGCATATTGGGAGAGATGAAGATGGAGACGGGAAGAGTCGCACGGAGCTAAAAGTTGTGTCAGTTTTGCGGAGCCATGATAGAGCAGTGTCACGGCGACTCACCTCTGAAATGTGACCATCGGGGTTCTTCAGGGCGACAACAAGCTTGAGTTTGTGTCGCACCTTGATACCGTTGTGGTTGAGATCCTGGACACACTGTCGCAGTCTCTTGGGAAGGTTCAACTTCTTCTCAACCATCCACCCCTCTTGGCCAGTGTCTTCGATCGTATCGTGCCAGTGCTCATCGCGCTCGACGTCGAACTTCCAGTTGGAGACTTCTCTTTCGGTTCGGTGTTCCTTGAAGACGTTGCCCGTAGGCCCCTGTAATGTGCATTCTCGAATCTCCAACATCTTGACTGAAATCTCCCCCATTTCGAGACCCTTCAGGAGGGGTGTGAATCGCATCTGTAATGGTACTGTGGCGCCAAAGACTACAGCCTTTTGCGGGATGATAATGGAGTAGTCGACCTTGTTCGGCCAAATGTTCTCGACGCTCATGGCATGGAGGTACTCGAGGGCGGCGGGTTCGAGGGTGCGGATAATGCGCAGCGCCTTGTAAGCGTGCAGATCGTAGGCGAGCTTGCCGCGGGCGACGGTAGCCTTGAGCTTGTAGGTGATGCTCGCTTCGGGAATACCTTCGACACTCTCGGCGGTGTTGCCAGGCAGGGTGTACTCAAAAGGCCACTCATAGTTGCCGGCCGGCAAGATGGTGTTCTTGCCACCAGTGCCGCCGACAAACGGAGCCCAGCGGTGTTGGAGCAGTGTGGTGGTCTTGTCGACTTTTTGGCTAGAGACGCCAGAAGCGGCGGTCTTGGAGTAATCCCACCTATTGAGAGCGCAAGTCAGTTGACTGATCTGCAGTAAACCGAACCGGAAATAATGAGGGGGCCTCATACGTTAATCGATGGGTGCCAGTCAGTCGCAGGTGGACATCTTCGATCTTCAGCGGCGTGGGCAGGCAGAGCACCACGACGCCCTTGAGGACCTGACCGGCAGACTCGTCCTCTCCACCGCGAAATACGATAAAATCATTGTCTAGTCTGCAGAGCGTCAGACGTCAGCGGGGGTGCTCTTCAAAAACGGACTAAAAGAGTCACAACCGGAAAAGAGAATTTGGAGAGAGAGAGAGGAAAGAAAAGACGGAATTTGGAGACGTGGGGCAAGAGGGCATACCTGATCTCAAAAAGCGAAGCAGCATGCTTGCCTGTGACGGTCGAGAATGGGTTGAATGACGGCATCTTCAAAGGTTGGGTGTGACATGAACCAAGCGGTATGCCTGGGTAAGAAGAAACAGCCTAAACACATGGGAAGGAGAGGTCTGGAGACGAGCTTGTATTTATCGACGGAGCGTCCTTTCTGGGTACGAAGTACATTCGTCAGATCAAAGGTGGGCGTGGGCAAGCGACCAAGCGCAACAAGCAAAAAGCTCGCGCCTTTACCTCACAAACGGGCAGCCCACCCACGTCGATTTGCAAAGCGTGGGAAGTGGAAGCCGAAAATCGAAAACCCACGCCCGTCATCCACCACGGCCACGCCCCTGCCCCTCGGCGGGTTCTCGCTCTTGGTGGGATAGGTGGGGCATCCTTGATTCGGCAGCAAAAAAAAAAAAAAAAAGATAGGTGAGGTGTGAGGCCGAGAGGTGTGCGAAGACGAAGAGGAGAGTTCCTTGTTCAGGGTCCCCATGAACCTTGTGGACGGAGAAAGGATAGGAGAACCTAACGAAGAGATGGGATCAGAGCCAGAGGCAAGGGCGCAAGCCTGCGGCGGCGGTACATACGGTACGGGTACGTACACCTGGTACGGATACTGGCGCAGGAAGTAGGAATTCCGTCCATTTGTTGGCTTTCAGGAGGATGGATGATGAGGGTCAGCGGCAGCCACCGGGCAAGGAGGACGGCCCAGGACGGAGCCAGGGGGTGTGTTGCCCACCTCATCCAGGCCATGGACCATGGCGAAGAAACGAGGTGCAGCAGGGCTGGGTCGATGCGCCAGACAGACAGACCCAGATGCAAGGCGAGAATGAGGGAAGGTACGGATGGTCAATGGGTGTGTGCACGCTGACCCTGGGTATCTCTTTCTTGCTGTCACATACGGATAGGTACGAATCCCTTACGGAGTAGGTATAGTGTATCCGTACCTAGGTATCCACGTACCCTTTTCCTTGCGGGAGAGAACCCCGACTCGATACCGACTGGCGGAAGGGCTGTGGCTGTCATATGGGAATCAGCAGCGACTCGCTCACATCTGAAGGGAGACGTAGAGACCGGGTGTGTATCTGCGCTGTGGTCTGTGCATATGATCCCGTGTTTGCTGGGTGGCTGCTTGGTGCCGCGCGTGGTGTCGGGAACCAAGACATGGGTTCGGCGGCGATGGTGCCCTGCCGCTGGTGAATGAGTCTATCCGTACTCCGTACGCAGTATGAGAAAGTGGGATGAATTTCCTCTTCCTCTTGCGGCTTTTGCCTCGGACGACGAGGAGGGGTGTGGGTGAATCATGGTCAGTCTCTCGGTCAAACCAAGCATCTGAACCATCTACACTCTTTTAGCGCAAAAAAAAAAGTCATGACGAGAGCACGCGGCATCTATGCGCCCTCTTCGCAGTGTTTCCGTGCCTGACTCTGATACACTGATGAACGGGTATCATCTCACCAGCCATCCAAACTAGATGCGGCCTATCTAAGGCTATCTTGAGCGACGGTGAACCGATGGCGCGTTTTGGCAGAGATGCGTATTGCGGGTACTTACGCTGACGCCGATGCTGTTGAGTCTGAGTTCGAGCAACCTGAGCTTGTTGTCTGACTCTCCTCATCATCGTACACCATCGTTATCTCTTATCCCTTGACCAGACGCAGCAGCCAGTACTTGTTCAGAGCGCTGGGATGGGCTTAGTGGGAGAGCGGCTGTGAGTTTGCTGACTTTGGTGTGGTGGATTGTTTGGCCGGCTTGGCAGCCTCCGAAAGGATGGTGCAGGCTGTGGTGAGAAAACACCTGCTTTCGTACCTCCGTACCTGGTTGTATATCTCAAAACGTACGCTGGACATCTCAGCTGGGTAATCATCGTGTAAACGTAGGCTCGGATCATCGTCAAAGTCGCGGTATTCTGCCTCATTGGGAGTCTGGCCTACACTTTCGGCTGCTCATGTGGCCATCCGAGGCAGGATCGTCTATTCAATGGAAAAAACCGGAAATTTACCTCAAATGCGACTCTCTGAAATTAGCAAAACAAACTGGCCACAGAGAAACTGAATGACGGGCAGATACTACGTACAGAGAGAGAGGGGGGGGGGAAACAAGCCAAATTGAAACACATGGTTCGAGCGCCTGCACTTGCACTTTCAGGTCCACGGGTGGTTGCTACCTACTGCTCGGATTGCGCCCGGCTTTGAGATACTGCGGCCTACACCTTAATCGCGCGCAAGCTCATGTACCTGCCTACCTACCCTCACTTTTACTCCGTACATGGACGGTAAGACACACGCCTGCTGCTGCACGCAATTAAGGTGTCCGCGATGCCTCACAGGTACAGGATAACATCTGCCCATTGCGCATGGAAAGGTAAGTCTCCGATGCGCCTCGCTTCATCAGAAGGAAGCTCTGACGGGCGGCGTCTGCGTCCGCGTCCGCCATGAACGTGTCTTTGCAACGACGCCTTCATGGCGGTGCCGAGGTCTACCTACCTTGCGTATTGTCAACGATGCAAAGAGGATATTGAGAGAAGTGACCGAAGCTAATCATGACGAAAGGTACCTAGGCGTCGGCAACCAACATGATTGCTGCCGGGCAGACAAAGGGCCTCAAACAATGAGATTCCTTACCGAAGGCAAAAGCTTAGGTTCACTAAGGGAACAGAAGGTAGGTACATCCCAATATCTACAGACGGTGTTGCCGCCCGGGCGCCGTTCATCTGACGGATAAGGCGACGGATTGCCGAAAAAAGACTGCCACACCGACGCCACTGATTGGCCCCTGCATGAATCGTGCGATGGACGTCGGTTGGTCGGGTGGAATGGAAGCTCAGATGGAAGCTGTGGGTCCCTTCCTCATTCCCTGCCTTCCCTGCCTTCCCTGCTCGTCAGAGTCTGTGTCCCTTCTTTCTTCGGTATGCCGTGTGTGCGCGCCGTGCCTGCCACTTCTTGTTCCAACTTCCAGTGCCACCTTGATTGCCGCCACACCTTCTCACCTCCAAGAAAAAAGTGACGGATACCCGGTGGGAATCCTACAAGACGTCCCCTGGCAAGATTACAATGGACGCCCGTTTTTTTTTGTTTTTTTTTTTTGTTTTGTAAAACTCGCACGAGGCAACACAACTGACTGGACAGGCCAGCGTGGTGGGCCCGGCTCTGGCGTGGGATGTTCAATCTGCAAAGTCCTGTGTCCAGCATCTCTTCCCGGCGGGTTCAAGCATCTTCCCTAATCAATCAATCGCCAACTAATGCTGTCCAAACTGCAGAGCGGTCTTTCCTCCGTTCGTTACGGAAATCTGCAATTTGCGTGGTAGTTGTCTCATTGACCAGGCTTTGCTTCCTTGGCCTGGAATACGCTGGCTGACACACGCTTCTGTAGCCTGGTGGTTTGCATCCTACATGTCATATCGAATTCGACCGTCCCTCATCGCCAATGCAACTAAGACGCAGCCTAGGCTAGCAACGATACGCCAGTAGACCGCCTCGAAAACACCATCGTCACCAATTATAGCTTTGGCAACCATCTCGTCCATCTGCAAGACACGCAAGAAGCCAAGACCTGTTCGCTGGACTCTATCGTCGTGATACACGGGGGTACTCTTCCATTCATCACGCTTAGCTGCTAGTCTCGACCGTGGCCATGGCCCGTCTTCTCCAACAGGCCACGCCTCTTGTCGCCTTGTATGGGCAAGATTGGCGACCCCCACATCCGATATTGTCGATGTACAAGGCAAAATCCTGCTGGCTGACGTTGATGCCTCCAACAACGATCGTCTATCAGATGCAATCACTGCTCATAAACATCATTCATCATGAGACTCTCCCATTAGAGCACGGCGGGGTAGCTGATGCTTGCATCTGAGCGGCAAGGGCTTGGATCGTGGTCAGCCATTGCTTGTTTCAAGCATGTGCAACATCGAGGCTCGCAGTATACAAAGAAAAAAAAAAAGACAGGACAACCGCAGTGGCCATATCTGAGGTACCCCCACTGCAACCTTGAGTTTGAGTGCACCTGACGGCTAGAATCTCACGATGTTGTCGAAACGGGAAATGGAGGGCTCGGGGCACCCAGTGCCACGGGGAATACGGCTGCTCAGCACGTCGCATCCCATAGCTCTCCGATTCTGCACCTTACGACCAACTTAGACGTCTCGCATCTTACTGAATGGGCCACGGTTGCGCTTGGTGACACGAGCCCTCCGTATTGGCATCTGCAGGCCTGCGGGCAGCCGATGCAAGTCAAATTGTCCAGCTCCTCTGTCGGGCCCGTTTGAATGGGTTGGTCTGCCGCATGCAGCACTACATGCAGCATTCTCAGCAGACAAAGTGCTTCTAGGCCGTCCAAATCATACGCCCGCCCAGTCGACCTGGCTTGGGCGTCACGTTCCCACTGTCCCAGCATCCATCGAACTCCCGTTCGCTGAACCGACGACGGCCCTCATTGTTCCTGAACCCCTGCCAGACTTTGGTCCGCTGCTTGGAAGATCGTCGCCAGGAGAGAGGCGCTCTGGCAGCTGGGCCCGGACCTGGACCGAGCTCTGCCATGGGTATGCTCTGAGGGCTCGGTGAAATCTCCACCGATAAGCACCAGACCTTGATTGCTCTAGAGCCAGGATTGCTCCCTTCCTCGTTCCAGCTTGAAGCGAAGAAGCGAAAAGCGACGACTCCTGAATCCTGGGCCCCGAGCCCTGAGAAATTGGATCCTGGCCAGAGGGCTCCGAGTCTCTGCGCCTCAAGTCCCGGCCTATCAAACGACGACGGCCGCGGTTACAGCGCTTCCGCTGCCACTTAATCCTGCATGAGGAAACATATGAACCAGAGACAGAAATCAATCCATTACCATACGATCAGTCGGCCAGCACCGTCCGCAGTGCGACTCTTCTCCATTTGCGAGGGCTTGAACCCCCCCTCAAATAAGGACCAACAAAAATGAAAGCCAGGCTTTGAAAGAATGGACCTCTCACCGACTTGATGTCGAGTGGATTCCTCGCTGAAACTTTGACAATGGCGCCTTCAACCCTGCTTTTTCTCCGACGCGATTGCGACTTTTTCTTCTCACCCTTCCCACGGTGGCTGGCATCCAATAAGCGCAGCGCTAGGAAGAATGACTCCGAGATAACGATAAATTGCACTAAGCCGCAAAATCACCGTGCAGCGGTCCGAAGCCGCGCCGAACCCGGACCTACGCCGAATCGAAAGCTCCAAGATACGGGCGGCGGGCGCGAGTTTCGGTCTTTGTTAACGGCGCAGCCATCTCATCTCGCAATCGCACTTAGGCCGGCAAGTTCCTGCGAAGCTGTGATTTTAGTTCTTTTTCCCTCAACCAGATTTTGGGTTAAACTTCCTCGGTGACGCCTAGGCACATGCTTACCAACGTTCGAGTCGGCGTTGCGTGACCAACGAAGTTCAAGCTCCGACTCAAAGAGCTGCAGCCACCTGCCGCCACGTTAAAGCTTTCTTGATTTCGTCACTTTTCCACACACAGAGCTACAGGCAAATAAGTTGCTGGCCACATACGCAGGCGACAGGACGCACCCTTTCGCCGTCACAGTCGTAGCCCTGTGAGCATTGGATCCCACCTCAACTTACGCATTTCTTCGACGTCTGGACATATCCCAGTCAGATTGTCCGGTGAAGCTGCACTGAGGGCGGATAGCTAGCAGAAGCGAGGTCAAGGCTCCTCAAGCCATTACCCACCAAGGCTCCGCCTAGGTTGTCCCGCCAAGCTAAGGTACGCTACAGAAGGGCCGCATCTTGCAAGGGACCAATGTATCCGTACGGATACAAGGTCAAGATCCAAAGCATTCACAATGCCACGATGCGCAACTTGCAAGTCGCCTTGATGATCAGAGTTGGCGTCTCAACGGCTCAGCTCGCCGACTGCCGCAGATGGCATCCGCAGCCATGGGCCCCCACCCAATCGACTGGGCTTTTGCAAAGATAGCATCATGCCTGCTCCTGGGCCTGATGTCAGATCACCCTAGGGCCCCACTGATATCAACATGACATCTCTTTCGTACGTCTTTTGGTCCTTCACTTCGTCTCGTCTGGGCCGTTCTGTCTCGCCCCAGTGCACATCATGGCCTGAGCATCGTTCACTGCTCATATCCGCCTGCAAAATCGAATGAGGACCGTCGGAACTGAGCGGGTCGTCCGGACATGTTCAACCGCTGCGGTTATGCGTTCTCCCGTCTTGGTAAACTGCTGCACACTGCAACAGATGTGTACGAGAGGGAGGCTCGCTGAGTCGCTAGCAATAGTCAAATCACCAAACAGACCCATCGTTTCAACAATGTTGAATCTAGCGAGATCCATCTCGGGCACCAAGCCAGGTTGAGTCACGAAGCTTGGCCCCATCTCGAAATCTCGCCAACTACCGCCGCCTGCGCATATCCACTCTCCGAAATCTCTCACCTTCGGCCCTTTGCAGCGGTGAAAAAGAGAGGGGCCACGCCGCACCTCTAACGCATTCCTGGGCCTCCTAGGATGTGAACCTTGATACCGCACCCTTCCTGTAGACTACTTACAGACTGATTTCGACCTCTAGGACCTTCACTTTCGACCACGATTGTGGGACTCATCCTCAGCCTTGCCTCCTGGCTCCCGAGTTCCCTAGGCACGCTAGGGTAAGCTCCTTGATATGCAGGTGCACACAAACCGCTCAGTGTGGGCCGTCTACCCGTTATCTGCGCCAACGCCTTGTCACCACAGAGGGGCGTGAGGGTTTGAAGCTTCAATAATCGAAGCTTGCGGCGACAAGAGGGAAATTTTTCCAACAGTGCTCTGCATCCATACACGTGGATCACCCGATACGCCTGCATGCATCTCAGACACACGTTGCGGCGATACTACTGCACATTAAGAGACTTTGCGGCTGCACCGCCCAAAAAGCCTCATCAAAGTCTCGTTGGACAACGAGTAAGAGCCTCAGCATCTACCCTGCTTCTTTTGGCGCCGCGTGTCGAGGCCGTCATTTACCACCAACAGCATGTGAAAGGGCTCCGCCAGATTTAACTGAACGTGTTTTTTTTTTGTTTTTTTTTTCGTGTTACGGATACTGATACCACGACACCCTTCCTTACTCGTCTTCAACTCCTAGCAACCTCCCAGGAACCTATCGCATATCAAATCAACAGTGGAGACTTCGGGAATTTCCATTCCCTGCTTTTTGACAACCAAAAAATGGTCAATGATCCATGACTTTACTGAAGAAGGGGGGGGCCGTTTCGATTCGCCCGTGGACAGTATGGACGCCGTTCCAGAAGCATGTGCTATCTGCCTTTCCCGGGTCAGGAACGGGACGACGTAGCCCACGCATCCGGCTGCCCTGCATCCTGCAAGTCTGCGCCGGCAAACCGTTCGACTTTTCGTCCCGGCTTCTTTTCGTCGAGCGTGGATCGGGAACTTGATAGACTCTTTTTCTGGCCCGGGTTTCCTCTCCCGCTCTCCCGATTCTCTCTTCTCATGGTTTTACTGGGTGCATGGACCCTGCAATTATTTGGCGGCTGAGCCAAGCTTGGATTGCGTTTGTTCCCGTTATCCACTAATACCATGCAGACGTAACCCGTTTTGTTCCCATTCCCATGAACATGGCTGGGCGTGGCGTCGAGCGTGGTGGAACCCCCACGCACCCTTCCCTCTCACTGTACGAGTGCACACCTCCGTGCGGCGACTGGAAATAAAATTGCCAACTAAATGGACGGCGCAAGATACACACAGAGTCATTGTGGCTGGTGGCTGGCAACTTGTAAGAGGGGCCCCCAAGTGGAACACCAGGGCCAAGGGGTCTATCGACGCTCTCGACCGATGTGCAAAAAGCCCAGAGCCCACTACGGAGCCGCATCTTTGATTTCGCTGCCAGTGCTGCCAATGCAGATTTGTGTCTCAAGAGGGGCGCATCCTTTTCACAGTGGGAACTCCTGAACATCTTCGGGAACCCTCGAATCATATGCAGATCGCGCACGTCATGATCACCTCGAAATCCTCATGATGTACGCGCACATCCATAGAACGTTGAGGCGAAAAAAGCAGAAGAAGAAACGAGACCTTTGGAAAAAACGTTTTCGTGGGTTTCGACAAATGTGAGATGATCTGATTGACATTGAGCAAAAAAAGTACTTTTTGGGAAAAGAATTATGGACAAAGCCCTCGCGTAGAGGGGTGATGCGATGCATTGGCTGATTTCTACACCTCGACTCCCCCAATATCTGCAACGAAACCGAAAAACAAAGGGTAGCCAACTCATTATCATACCACAAGACGACGCATATGCGGCTAAGATGGTTGAGAGGCACCCTCCGTCGGCACCGGGGCATCTGTCGGCCTGTTCCATGTTCGGATGTGGCCTTTGGGGGTTTGCATGTTAGCATGTGTCGTCAAGTCCCGATTTCGTCTCGGCGCGACGTTCGACCACTTACCATTCTTGCAACTTGTGATGATGGCTTCCTCTGTAAATTCCAGCCAGCACAGGGGGTGGGTATCAACTGCCTTGGACTATAGCCGACATTGTGAGTATATGAGAGGAAATAGAAGATGACAAGACGTAGTATTCCACGTGGAAGAGGGGAACCGAGGCGGACTTACGGAAACAGGAGGTAGCATGGCGATCCTCGCACGAGGCTCGACGGGGTGAACGATGCTACTACCGTCTTCGTCCACTGCGCCTCCAGAGAGAGTAGAGTTGGACCGAATGCGACTCGCCGCCGTGTTGGTCGTCTCTTGTCGCTGCAAGGGGTTGGCGAACCGTGATGATACGGAGCCTCTGTGATGAACGGAAGCCTATGTCGACAAAGTCAGCTTGTTGGTCTCACATACCCATACACACCCTCCCCCCTCTCCGAGATTACCGATTCGACGCGGGGGAGTTAGGAGCTGGAGAGAAACGTACCGCCTTAGGCCGGTGCAGCATGCCGACGTTGAAATCCCACAAGCATAACCTGCAGTCTTCGCCGACACTGCCGAACCGATAGTTTCTATCGTCGCAGCGCCACGGGTCGAACGCTACCGACGTCACCCATGACTGATGACCTTGACAGCGCGCGACAATGGCCGAGTCTACCACGGACCAGATGGAGATGAGGTCATCCTGGCCTCCCGTCAGAACGTACTTACCATCCGGTGACCATGTGATGCAGATGAATCCGCCGTAATACGAGTTGTAGAGATCCAGCAACCTGTATCGTATCAGTCAGATCAGTTCACCCAATGTCTCGGCAGAACCCCCAAACATACTCTTCTTTCAAGTAGTCAATGATGCGGAGCGAACCGTCTTCAGAGACGACTGCTAGATGCCTATTGTCCGGGCTAAACGCAAATGCATTGATGCGCTGATTCGACAGCTTCCAGGATGCCACGGGATTCGTCTTCTGGTTCTTTGAGTGGACCGACTTGTTGATCTGGATCTTGAGGTTATGGTTGACGCCGTTGGTTGAGGAATCGCTCTCTCCGTTTGTCGACGAGCCGTTTGTCGTTGCCAACTCCTCCTCGGGAGAGAACTGCGCGTCTTCCTTGTCCTTGTCGTAGACCACCAACGAGCCGTCCATGTGGGCTGCGAGGAAGAGAGACTCGGAGCCCGGTATCCAACGGATTTCTGATACGGGCGTGCCGTTGATGATGCCCTGGGGTATTGTCAGCCTACCTGGTTTTCTACATTTGAGCAGTACTGTTCCAAAGACCTACGTTCTTGTTCAACCGAGTATACCGTTGCGAAACAGGCTCCCACCAGATGATCTCTCCCGTCGAGAAGCCCATAATTACGTCAATGTGTGCAATGTTCTTGGTGGTGGGGTTCACGTCGTGACATAGGCAATGGGCCTTTGTGAACAGAATCTTGGTCAAGTAATCGGCCTTCAAGCACGTTAGGCAACGAGCCCCGCATGCGAATTGGGTATGTTAGATAGAGACTGACCTTTGTTGGTGATGACAGATCCAGCCACTGAAACGCTCGATTAATGTTGGCAAAAGCAAAGACGCCGTCTGTCGGCCGCTCCTGAAGCTTCTTGGCCAAGCTCTCGTTCACAATGACCCTAGAAATGAAGGACGAGTTGCTCTTGGTCATGTTGTTCTTGGGCTTGGCCACCTTCTTCTTGGCTGCATCCTTGGTGTTGGCCGGCGCGAGCGCCGTGTTTCCGTCTCCGAACGCCGGCGCTGAGACCATGGTCAACGACGATGTCGGGGGCGCAACGCCATCACTGAGAGAGGCACCGCGGCCGTCCCCTCCATCGCTGCTGAGCCCGGCCTCGGTGGAGTACCGTCCTTCGTTGGGGTGCTCCTGGATGTCACCGCCGAGGGACGATGAGAGCGTGGTGGATGTGCTGGCGCCTTTGTTATAGAAGAAGGGGGGCGCGGCGCGGACGTCGAGGGATATGAGGGAGAGCTTTGTGCCGGCGGAGGCGGGCTGGGGGGTCGTGGCGAGCGGGTTCGGGTTGACGACGGGGGCTTCGGAGGGGTGCGGAGGCGGCGTAGCGAGGTGGAGGTCTTCTTTGAGGACGTAGGTGCCCTCGCCGACGAGAAATTGGTATTCGGGGCCTTCGGGATTGGAGAGAATGTTGTTTGTCTCGATCATGGGGGCGATGCCGGCGCCGATTGCGCCGTAGGCGCCCGAGTGCGAGGGGTATCGCGGGGGAGGGGGAAGGACGCTGTTGGTGTCGCACAGGGCGCGAATGTCAGCCGATGCTCTATGTTTGGGGGCAACAACATTGCAAGTAAGAGGCTCTGGGATGTACGGCTCGAGGGAGGCCGGGAATGGCTGTCTCGTACCTGCGTGATGTTTGACATCGCGCAGGTTGAATGGATATGGGTTTAGATGGGCGCTGGCTAGATTTGCCCGCGGGCAAGAACCAGCCGAGGTCGGGTAAACTCACAACATGATGGGCTAGTATTATATTTGATCCAGATCTACCATGGAGTTTAATTGCTACGTGGGCAAAGGTCGGTCAGAGGCACGCGAGGGTTGAGCCGCGACGTCGGGACGTGAGGTGGTTGGAGGTGGTTATCGTCGGGCGCTCGGGACAGTGGTCTGCGTGCGTTCTATTCGGCTCCGCCTCACGTCACTGGCGGCCCCGCGAGTGGAGGTCCCTTGGTCCTGATGATGGCGGGTGACGGGGAACGGCCGACGGCCGAGGCTGACAACGTTGGCGTTTTGGGAAGGTCGCACGTATAACGCCGGTTACAGAGAGAGAGAGAGAGAGAGAGAGAGAGAGAGAGAGAGAGAGAGAGAGAGAGACGGCTTTTTGGTGAGGTATCGATGATCGGATGGTGAGAATCGGTCTGGCGTGACGGTACGGTGTGGAGGGGGGTGGAGAGAGAGAGAGAGAGAGAGAGAGAGAGAGAGAGAGAGGATGTGTCGCCGCCAATGACCAGATGAACTCAGGAAGAGTTCATGTACGGCGCGGAGGGGATGTGGTGGTGGTGTAGCACCTTATTAATAGAGCGAGTAGGTGAGAAAGAGAGAGGTTGAAGGTGTAAGGTACTCCGTAGGTGTAGGAACGAATAGGCAGGTTCGGTTCCGGTCCGGGGTTGGTTCGTCCCAGGCGGAAGGAGTGCAGTTGAGCCTGTTGAGGGTGCGCGCCAACCACAACCCTCCACAATCAGTCAAGAACCACCGAGGCTGCGTCTGCTCGTTTCCAATTTGGGTCCCCAGCCCTTTTCCCATACATGATTCCTTACCTTCACCCCTGGCAGATGTGCCAATTGTCCCCATTTTCCCAACACCAAGGCTCTGTCTTCATGGGCAGGCGTGGCAGGTCAGCAGCATGGCAGGGGACGAATGCTGCAGGTTGGGGGTATTGGGGCATGGCTTATCCCAGGGGGAATGAGGGCCCCCGGGTCAGACGCGGAGAAGGTTTGCTGCGACGTGAGTGGTGGGAAGGGGAAGAGGAAGCAGGATGGGAGGGGTGGAGGGGGAAGAGTGGAGGATCCCCGACTGACAGACTGTGGGGAGGAGTCATACTACTGCATTGTATACCCAGGAACCCGAGCAGTATCGTGAGATGATGAAAGTCCATCGTCCCCGACTATCGGGATTTGACCTGGGGTATGACAACGACAACGGCACGTTGTTTCCCCTCGAGCATCAAGTTGTGGGGTAAAAAGTTGAAGAATGAGGTCAGGGGTGTTATGCGTTGTTAGTTGAAGAGATGGCCAATGTCACCCAAACCGGTCCATAAGCTGGATGGGCCAATACCATGATCAGGTAGGTAGCTTTCAAGAGTTGTGCAGCAAATCCTGAGACATCACTAAAAGCTGTGGTCAAAGTTGAGGATATCATCATTGAACCAATTCAAAGGGCTTGTTGATTGGGTTGCAAATCTTACGTAAAGAGATGTCTTCGTCGAACGCGTACGGGGCCATTTATCCGGGACCGACTGTTTTGGAGCACCTTGTTTTCCTATGTACTGAATATTCCACTGAGGTATAAAATGACCCAGCAGGAAGGGTCACAGCTCTGCAAGTAGGCAGGCACCAGCACATGTTTCTACCTTGGTTGCTCAACACAAAGGAGAGACGTAATGATCCTACAAGACTTGTGCGGGACTGAAACTCATGTAATTGATATTACTTGAGTCTACATAGTTGTTTCTGTCTCTCTTAGATGCAGACAGAAAGTGACTCAAAAAAAACGAATCTGTTGCTAGACATTTCTCTTCATTTCACCAAGACTTACATAATCCACCAAGATGCTCCAGCCTATGTGACCGCCCTGGTGACCGCAACTTGCATCGCCAGACGCGCTGGCCGCCGTACTGTCAGTGCCTTTCCCCCACCGGACTCATCCTTGCAAATCAGGTCGTCATCCCCGTCGACCTGCAGCTCCCGTCCTACCCGCTTCAAAGCTTCTACAAGCCCGTTGGGCCAATTCCATCACGAAAAAGCAGCCACCTTCAGCAAGCAATTCCCACATCAAACGGCGATCCGCTTCATCAACCTGATCTTCTTGCAGCAATCATTCACCACAGTAGACCCTGCCATGGATTCGTAATAGAACCACTTGTCGAAGCTGCAAATATCGTAATCATGGCTTCTGGTAGGTGGCCTGACGACGAGGAGCTGAGCTTCCTCCCACCGCCGTTCGTGCTCTTGAGCTTCCGACTGACCACATTTGCTGCAACATAGTGCGCGTCTGCGTTTGCGGTGACGAAGGCACCGGCAAGTCCAGCCTCATTGCTTCGCTCGTCAAAGATGTCTTCATCTCCAACAAGATCCAATCCGTCCTCCCCTCCATCACGATCCCTCCACAGCTGGGCACCCCCGAGAACGTAACGACCACCATTGTCGATACCTCTGCCCGCCCTCAAGACCGAACGACCCTCAGGAAAGAGATACGAAAATGCAACGTCATCCTCCTCGTCTACTCAGATCACTACAGCTATGAGCGCGTCGCCTTGTTCTGGATGCCCTACTTCCGCTCCCTCGGTGTCAATGTTCCAGTCGTGCTCTGTGCGAATAAATCCGACCTGACGGGCGAAGGAAACACGCCCCAGGTGGTCGAAGGCGAGATGCTACCCGTCATGTCCGAGTTCCGCGAGATCGACTCGTGCATCCGCTCGAGCGCGAGGGAGCACCGAAACGTCAATGAAGTTTTCTTCCTATGCCAAAAGGCCGTCACCCACCCCATCGCCCCGCTGTTCGATTACAAGGAGGGGAATTTGAAGCCAGCATGTGTCGATGCCCTCAAACGCATTTTCTACCTCTGCGATAAGGACCAGGACGGATGGCTCAATGATCAGGAGATGCACAACTTCCAGTCCAAGTGCTTCGACAAGCCCCTGACCCCCGAAGATCTTGAGAACATCAAGTTGTCGATTGTCAAGTCCGTACCGCACTTGTCGACCGAGAAGGGTATCGATCAGAGAGGATTCTTGCAACTCAACAAACTCTATGCGGAGAAGGGTCGGCACGAGACAATCTGGATCATACTGCGCAAGTTCCGCTACACAGACAGCTTGAGCTTGGAAGATAGCTTCTTGCGACCCAAGTTTGATGTACCCGAGTATTCGTCAGCAGAGCTGAGCCCAGCAGGCTATCGCTTCTTCGTAGATTTGTTTCTGCTGTTTGACAAGGACAACGATGGTGGGCTCAACGACAAAGAATTAGAGGCCCTTTTCGCGCCCACGCCAGGACTTCCTGCCTCCTGGATTGAAACATCATTCCCATCGTCGACCGTACGTAACGAGGCGGGACACGTCACATTGCAAGGATGGCTTGCTCAGTGGAGCATGACCACGTTCATGGAGCCCAAGATCACGCTGGAATACTTGGCGTACCTTGGCTTCGAGCCTGCAACCGCCAGGGAAACCACGACAGCCGCTTTGAAGGTGACCAAGTCGCGCAAGAGGAGGAGACGCCCAGGCAAGGTAGAACGCAACGTCGTGCTGTGTTACGTCCTGGGTGCTTCAGGAGCTGGCAAGTCCTCATTGCTGGATGCCTTCCTGAATCGGCCATTTGACACTCTTCACCGACCAACAATCAAGCCGCGCCGGGCCGTCAACAGTGTCGAGCTTCCTGGTGGCAAGCAGTGTTATATGATCATGGAAGAGCTGGGCGAGCTCGAGCCCGCCATCTTGGAGAACCAGGCCAAGCTTGATGCCTGCGATCTCATTTGCTACACTTATGATTCCTCGGATCCCGACTCCTTCTCTCATATTGTCGACTTGCGCAAGCGCTACCCGCAACTAGATGACCTTCCCAACATCTACACAGCTTTGAAGGCGGACAAAGATAAGACAACACAGCGCAGCGAGACGCAGCCAGACACGTATACATCAAGCCTCATGATGAGCACACCTCTTCACGTCACGGTAAAGTGGTCTAGCATCAGCGAGCTTTTCATTGCCCTTGCCGAGGCGGCGACGAATCCCAGCACCGCTTTTCCTCGAAGCGAAGAGCCGCCGCCAGACCGCACAAGTCTCTATCTCGCCCTGGGCGCGACGGCCTGCGCTGGAGTTGCGGCTTTCATGATCTGGCGGCGATCGACGACGTCCGCTTAGAAGAGGGCTAGAGCCTAGGCGCTTTGTTCTCCCCCGCTTGCATCTGCTCGGGGTTGGCGCGATTTCGCACGTCTCATCATCCACTCGTTGAAATACAATTATGATACCCAACTCCGCCCTACACTTATACTAAGGCACTTAGTCTCTAATTAACGTAATATCACCGTATCTGTCATATCGAGACTTTTCTTGGCCCCTATTTGTGAATTCTCAAGGTTTGCCACGCCAAATTGAATTGATCGAGACTGTTCATTTTCGTCTAAGGATGTTGTCTGAGAACTGCTAGCCCATTGTCACCGCTTACGTACTACTCATGCTGGAGCACTCTTTCCCCTGTTCGTCATCTCAAATATATCCAGATACAAGGGCAGTGTTGTATAGCAAAGTTCTGTACACGAACACCAGTCATCCATGTGTACGTATCTCTGCACGAATACGGGTACGAGGAACAACGAACCTGACGGTGGGTAGTTTGATAAACAAAGAACTCTCAAAAAGAACTCTTCTAGGCGGTTTTGTTAACATGTCGATGGGGCCAGTACCTTCTGCTCACTGGTAATTGTGTAGGCGAACGGCTACCTTCGTTCGATGCCTTCGCGAGGCCAGAGAACTACATTAAGGTACTTAAGGTATGAATAGACGGACCTATATGAGATACCTCAGAATATTACTTTGAGCTCTTCTCTTTCCTATGGGCCTTGGTAGAACGACATAGAAACGTGATGCGGCTAAAACACAGTCAATGAAGCCCGACGACTTGGCCCCGCTGCTTATGAGCGTCAAACACATCTTGTCTTGCGACATTTCCTTCTCTTGTAACCTTGTATACCCAATCTCTTAATTATACGAAGCTGACTTGTTGGGTTTATCGTCTCTTCGAGTGGGTGACTCAATATCTACGCCCGACCTGTGATGCCTGTATTTGTGTCTTAAAACAAAAGTTATATGAGTGTCTTGGTAGATACGAAGTGCTTGCAAGTGTCGAATATCTCTTCTCTTCTTTAGCGAACGACCAAAACACATATAGTCAAGAGAGACATAGATGGCGGCCCAGGCCTTCTCGTCGAAGACGTGGATCGGCTCGCAGAGCCCATCAAGCTCAGAAGTGACAGCCTAGAGTGAGACCAGTAAGAATGTATTACCAAGAACCTCAATGAGAGCAGCGTCGTCACGCCAGTTTCCTGCAGTAGAAGGGATTGGAAGGCATACGAGTCTTACTTCTTCTTACAGACTATATAACATGTTCTCCAGCAAAGCAGAGGCAAGGTTCAGCTATGTCCATGACCTTCTCGTCGAGCTGGATGAGCCCAGATTCCGACTTGAGACCTTGGTTGAGCGATTCCTCGCCGCCGTATACGCAGATGGCCCGGAAGTATCCGTTGAATGTAAGGTCGGTCGAACTGCGGCCGTTTTGATGGGCTGAGTAACAGTATTTATAGCAAAGGGAATATTAAGAACGGTGGTAGTGCATAAGAAGCCCTCCGTTGTTCAAAAGGTTCGCTACCTTATTCTTCAGCGAATATTACGTTGCTGGCAGAGATTGACAGATGATTGGGATATTTCTCTATCTTATAATGTATTGCTGTTAGAACTACGATAGCAACTAAGACCTGTTGAGAACCACATTCAAGCTGCTTAGATGAGCAACACAGCACATGCACACAACTGTGCCGCTACGCCGACCGGATGACGGCCATGGTTCGAGACTAGAAAATTCGAGGGGGATCTATGTACATTAAAAAGACAAAGCGATGATAGGGTCACGTACTCATTCGTATATACGAAGCAGGGCGGAAGGTCTTGATAGTTCTTGACGTCTAGGCGGCTCCTGGGCAATTGTGGACTTGGCGTCTTCTATCTAAGCCCCTGCGCCAGATTGAAGAATTCATGGTTGTACTAAGCTTGAAAGGAGAAACGAGTCAAAATCTTGATTGTGTTAGATCAAGAGGGACTCGAACTGGGAGTCTCAGCCCCCCTCGCGAAGTGATGTGAGAGTAAGGATTCGAGTCTAGTTCCTTGACGCGTCGACGAGGTCCATAGACATGTGGCCCGATCCTGTGGAATTCGAAACCGTGTCTTTCGTCTGCAAGTCCGTTAATCCTATCCAACTATATTTTGATGTGGTGTAAGAAATCATCTCACATATTCTTGTAACCCGTGATTGTCCTTCAAGACGTGCAGAAGAATGTGTATAGCTCTCCAAGCACGCTGTTTATATCGTCTAGCTGCTAGCCAGCTTCGACTGGAAGAAGGCTATCTATGATGCCCCTGTCTTCTGTAAGCTATAGTAAATGACATTCTCTAGCCTGAGTTTGGCACGCGGGAAAAGAGAATGGCCGGCGTGCCAAAGCTCCCTACCGAATCCCGCGACGCGAATAACCACACGGTTCTAATTACCTTAAAGTGGTGGCATCCTGGAGCTAGGAGGTCAAGTCAAAGCAACATAAAGGTACAGCCTAGGCCCCAACCTAAATAATGCAGCTCAAGCATTTAAACTCAATGTTCAAGATGACCGTCGCACCGTGTACGACGATAGGCATTCTATTGTGGGAAGTGCTTGAACACCAAGTACAAGCATCTTGCGTCCACCTCAACAAGTTTCAAACGCTCTCTTCAACTCTCACCATCGCCATGTCCGTATTCCCTTGGCATGATCGAATAGCCAAAGACCCTTCCTTACAAGACAAGAGCGCGGGTGAGACACATTTGGGCTTGATCACACGACCGCTTGCCCAGCCCTTCGTATCCACATTCGCCAGTGCCGCCACATTTCCCACCAGTACGAGTAAGGCCGCTCGATCTCATACCGTCGCTTCGAGAACCATCATCTCTGCCTCTCACGATTCGCAGAACACGGTCAACCGGCTTAACGAACGAACCTCAGCGGCAGCTAGGTCCGTCGTTGTATACAACGTCCGCTAGCCCAATCACCGGCCTCACTACACCTCACTTCACCTTATCTCACCCCAGCCACCCCGGCCCAGAGCACCCTTTAAGATCCAGAGATGTATTAAGCAAATTCATAAGTGGTATTCCAAACTGTTTCCAGCCGTGTACTCGAGAACTCAACAAAGTCGTTACCATACACGAAGAAGAAGTGCGACTAGACCAGACCAAAAGAGAAGAGAAGAGAAATACAGCTCCCCAACAAGCTGACAGGGAAACCCAAGAAATGAACCAAAAGTACAGCTTCATGTAGCACTGCATAACCGACACTCCCGCCAGATAGAACCCAAACCCGGAAACCCCATAAGAACCCGTATTGTTACCCAAGAGATACAAGAAAAAGTTAATCCCGATGTCTCAGACCCAGACTCACATCGTACACTTGACTTGTTATACAGCCTCGTTAAAACCCCCCTCCTCTGTCCCATTTGTGTCCCATAAGCCCATCATATAAATAACTTTTCACGCCTATCATCCCACTCTCCGTCAGTCGTTGATTTTCCATACTCACTCATCATCACCTCAATTCATCAGACGGCCTCCGTTGACGGGAATCACCGTCCCCGTAATCCACCTGGACTCATCGCTCGCCACAAACGCAACAACGTCGGCAATGTCCTCCACAGCACCCAACCTCGCCTCGGCAGGCGTAAGCGAAGCCCTCTCCAAGTCGGCGCTGCGCTGGTCGTCGGGCAGCGAGTCAAACATCTCCGTCTTGACCGTCCCCGGACTAATACAATTCACAGTCACGCCATGCGCCTGCCCCATCTCTCGCGCCGCGACGCGCGTGAACGCCTCGACGGCCGCCTTGCTCCCAGCGTAGGCCATGCTGCCCGGCGAATCGGCGCGCGCGGCGACGGATGAGATGTTGATGATGCGACCGCCCGGCGCAATATGCGGCTTGACGGCCTGCATCATGAAGAACACGGCGCGTGTGTTGGTGTCGAAGATGCGGTCGTAGTCCTCGGTGGTAGTGTCGTCGAGCGTCGCGCTGAGCGTCGCGGCGGCGTTGTTGACGAGGATATCGATCTTGGTGACTCCAAACGCCATCATGGTCCGCTCGATGACCTTCTTCTGATGCTTGGAGACGTCGGCTTGGATGGCGGTCGCCGAGGACCCGCAGGCCTCGATCTCGGATATGACCTCATGGGCCTTGGCTATTGATGAAGTGTTTACAAAAGTGAAGGCGACCTTCAATCACGCGAATCACGAAATTCTAGCTTTAGCCGAGGTTCTCATTTCAACAAGATTGAGGTCGGTAGAGACGCACCCTGGCCCCTTCCCGAGCGAGCTTCAACGCGATGGCGGCGCCGATGCCTCGCGCGCCGCCGGTGACGATGGCGACTTTGCCTGACAAGGACATGTTTGGCGGCGGGAGCTGTGGCAGCGGCTTCGTCCACAGGGCAGATGATGCGCGTCGCGCGAGACTTTCGCTGGTTTCTCCGTCGCTAATCCGAGGCGACTGGCTTTGCTGATGCTGCTCTTGCTGGCTCAGCGCTTTGGTCAGATGAGACTGTGATAAAGGCACACTGTCAGCTTCGATGTCTGTTGGCATCCGCGGCCGGAAACCCGGTGTAGTGCAGCAGAATACCGGCAGAGTCTGGCTCTGGAGCCAGTGCGTAACGGCTCGGAAAGCCATTTGACTGGGATCCGTAGTCATGGCATTATCTTCAATAGGTGCGACGTCCATGCAGATATGCTGCATCGGTTTGAGATGTGTGATGCGATGACGAAGGCTGGTGAAGGCTGGCACACACACACCTTGCAGTTGAACGTCAGCCTGATCATGCACACCAAGGTCCCCCGTGCGTTAGAAATGGTGTGGCGGCGCGGGGAAACTCGACGTGTCGATCGTGCTGGATGACCAATGTAAGACAAAGCTCGAGAAGGTCTAGTCCACACTTTCTGCTGCAAATCTACCCATTCCGCCACAGTTTCAATAGCTCGCGCAAGCTCTTCGGCTCCAGACTCAAGCAACCTGCAAGGAAGGACGCGGACCCTGCCTGTTGCAACTGTAAGGGTGAGGATTCGGACAACGAGCCACACATCAAGTGGCATTTGGGAGATGGGAATCGTGTTCCATTGGTGTTACTCTGAATTTTGGGGGCCCAGACGTCTCTCTGACAGATGACCAACGGCATATCGCTGCAGCCCGCAGCGCGCCTTGATATGTGGGAGATACGTGTACGTAGTTGGTGCTTCATTGTCGATCGCTTGATCACCAACACTTGCTATCGAAAATGGCAATTATAAGATCAAACTGAAGCCGTATAATCGTGAGTCAGACTGCTGATTCCGAGGTGTCCCATAGGCGTCAAGCGCGCAGATGCGACCGCAAGGTGATGAAGGGAATCACGAGAGCGAACGGTGAGGAATGGAAGGCCGTAGGTACACAGATACCTAGTTGAGGGTTGCTTCCGTACACTTCAGTAGCGCAATCTTTCGGTGACACGCATTTTCCACTGTTCAGCGACTACCCGATGACCGGCTGCGGTCTTCTTCACTGAATGCCAGTGGATGGCGACACCCTTGCTAGGAAACGGCAGATGGGATGACATGCTACGCTGCGATCGCAGTTGGGCGGCCTCTGGTTGGTCGTCCCCGTGCGACGGTTTTTTTGCGACTCGGCTGGGGCGCTTCGCAATGGACCGTGGACCCGTGGTTATGATGGTGTTGGACTGTGCCTGTGGGTGGACAGGGGCGAAAGTTCTCGACGTCTTGATTCTTTGAAGCATGGTAACTTGGTGCTTGGCAAGTCGCAAACGGCAAAATGAAAGAAAGACGTTGGGCCGCAGGCGTTGGAAACGAGATTGCCGATTCAGGTCACTTTGGCGTATTAGTGGATCCAAGAGGATGGTTGGGCCTTGAAATCAAAAATCCCTAGGCACAAAGGGGGCTCAACTTGCTCAAGGGGCGAGAGTGGGAGATGACCCCGACGAGACGGCGTCGATGGCCGGGACCGCCGGTGGTGAATAGGGGCCCGAGGCGGTGACGATGGGGACCGGTCCACTGGCCCTGCATCTGACGAGCCCTTGGTCTCCAGTCTCCAGTGTCTGTCCTGATCCAGTCCTTCGAGAAGGATGTGGAAGACGGCCGTGGTGCATGGGTTGCATTCCACGCATTGTTCAGGGAACCCTCAACTTTGGGGCTCGGAAGTCTTCGTTGGCACAGACTCGGAGGCCGTGGAGAAGAAGGTAGCGCAAAGTCGTGCCTCGGACCAAAAAAAAAAAAAAAACAGCAAACTGATGACTGAGTGACTGAGGAGACGCCCGAACCTTGTCCTGAGATCCGATGTTCCCTGGCATAAAGTGGTGAGCTATTCTGGGGACTTTGTCCTTGGGCAGGTTGGGGCCCTGGGATCGCCCTGCAATTCTGAGCAAACGGGTCGAGCTAGGTAGTGTCGATTTTCGGCAGCAGCCAGCAGTGAAGGCCGATACTGTTTCGACGTCGGCCGGAAGGGTAGGTATAGGTAGTACACACGCTGATGGCAGTCATCGTGGGAGGGAGCATTGGCGGAAAGGCGCAGTATCTTTATAGAGTCAAGCCGTCGTCCTCACGGAGCTGGTAGCACAACCCAGAGTACTTGTAGGAAGTTGAAGGGATAGTGTCGTGTCGCAGGCGCAAATAGAGGTACGATGGTAGCGCCGGGTGCACATGGAGCCTCCCTTGGACCAGGTGGGTTGTCCCTGCTTTGCTCGGATCCGGATGTGGCAGTGACGGGGACGAGAAACGCGCGCTTTGAGCGTGACAGATTCAGCTCGAGTTAGAGATGAGAAGCGAGAGGGCCCTGAACCCGTATTGTGGTTTCCTTGTTTCATTGTGAGTAATATGAAAGACTGGACTTCTTCTCGTCCTTTGGTGACTTGAGATGACGGACTGGTTGTGTACGAAGTGTACGACGTATAGGTACTGCGGCCATGGCCCTATCCATGTCTCATCCACTGGCAATATCCGGGCCTCGTGGTTAGCATGTGCTCTTTGGGGAGAGTCGGCCGGAGCCAATTGTGTCGGACTCGGGTCAAACTCATCATCCAACATCAAGTGTCGGGGTCATGGCTTAGACCTGTAATGCGAGAGTATTCGTATAGAGCTAGGCAGCAGTGATGGAGGTACTAGCAGGAGTCGATGTCATCCATGGGGTGTGTATGTTGATTTAGTGATATTCATATTGTTCCGTTGATGATTATGGACGGCTGGTATTAGTTGTTGTCGAAGTTGCAGACTGTATCTGTGAGGTAAGGTAGAATAAGGTACAGCTGAGTAGGTAGTAGCCCGCCACGCGGGGGTCAGAAGAGTTGGCCGCTTTTCTCAGGCTCAATGGTACAAGAGCGGCCAATTCTCCTGACCACCGCGTGCCCGTTATCTTTTTTCTTTCTTTCGGGCTCTCTCTGTCTTCCTCCCCGCCCTTCCTTTGCGCCTCCCCGCCGTGCCCGCACATGCAGTTGCCCGTCCTGCCGCCTGCCGTGTGTCTGCCCCCAACTTGATGCCAAAACGGCAGCCAGTCAGTTCGCATTCCACGGCCCAGGGGCTCCTTCCCCTCTCTCTTCAGTAAGGTACCTGAAGTAGGTATCTGCAAAGAGTGAACGGACGATACGTACTCCCAAGGGAAGATAGTGTGTAAGCTCAGGTACGGGTACAGACGCATGCACGACTCAAAATGCAATCCAACTCAGCTGAACGGACGATAGACTAATGTATTATGAGGTAAGAGGATGCCCTTACGTGCATTAGGTAATCTTTCGGTTGTTTGATGCTTGCTTGTCTTGCGCGACCCTGGGCCATTTGATGTTGACTGTCCTGGTCCAGGATGAAGAAGACAGTCCCAATTATTCCACAAAGCCGATGTCTCCATAGGTACCGCGTACTCATCTCCTTGGCTGAGATTAGCTTACATAACACATGGTAAGTATTCGTACCTACCTTGAGGTATGTCAAGGCAGATTGTCGCGAGAAAGGAAGCCCAAGAAGAAGGCACACCGTATTGTTGGCAGTTGGCAGTTGGCAGTTACCCGTTGACTTTTGGCTGAGCACGTGATAGGGAAGCGGCCTTTTGTGCCAGACCACTGCACTTTACTTTGACTGGCCGCTCTTTTTCCAAAGCAACGCCTAGCCCAGTCTGGCTGGCGCTAATGCAGTCTTGGTGGCGCTCTCCTCTCCAGGCTACAAATGACACCAGCCGATTGGGGGTCGAGCCATGTACTCGGTACTTACTCCTCTCAGGCCTCCACTCCGCCAGTTCCAGCATTTCGCTCGCTTCCGACACGAATAACGGCACTCTTTCCAGGATGGTCTCTGCAAATAGACTTGTATCCGTCTACTTCCATGGTCCCCCAAAGTATCTGATCTCCACGACGTGACCTCGACTTTGGTGCTGTACTTCGTAAGGTAGCGCCTGTTCATCGCCCTTTCTGCCAGTCAACCCTCACGCTCGCTCGCGCGCTCTGTCTTCTGCCCGCTCCCCCCGTCCTGCAGTAGGGGGTTGACTTCTGACTTGACTGGCTGCAGTCCCGTCTGCCTGTCTCTTCCAAGGTTGTCTGCACCGACACCAATCCCAAATACCTTCTCCAAAAAGTCCAGTTCTCGACACAAGACTGGACGGCGACGTGAACCATACCATCCAAGGTTGAGGTTGATTGACACCATTTGCCTTACCGAGCGCTAGAACAACTTACCAACAGCGTTCCCTTCTCCTCCTTCTCCTCCTCCTCCACCACCACTGACTGCCACGCTCACCATCGCTACCACCTCTCTCTACCTGGACAATACCCGACGACACAACACAACTCAGCACAAGACACGCCGGCTAACTGCCCACTTGGTCCAGTCTCGAACCGACCCATCCTCGCCTGTTCCGTGCTCTCAACAGCATAATTTGCCGCTTGCTTTTTCTCCTCTCGTTTGCAACGGTTGACTTCTCCAGTCTTTTCAACTCTTATCGTTGTACATCCCGGGTACTGCTCCAATAGATTCCCCTTCCCATGCGATCTTGAGCGACGCGACCGAAGATTCCATACCTGTATCCGTATTCCGATCCCGACCTCGTTCCAACTCCCGCCCTCGACACTCCCGCTCGTTCCCACGCCGCGCCTATGCTGCCCTCCACCCTCGACAGATGAGAGCTCGACTACGCATTCTTTTCGAACGACATATTCGGCAGACGAGTGGTGCATTCTAGGGAATCACTGGCTTTTCGGCCTCCCTCCAGGCCATTTCCTTTCCTAGATGATGGTGCGTAGACTTGCCCATAACTCGCCACTGCACCCCATCTTCGGCACCCAACGCTCTGAGCGTCTTTCGAGTCGACTTTGTTGAGCATGGCGCGCTTCCTTTCTTTGCCTCTATTTCAAGCCTCAAACTTTACTCGCTGAGCCCCCTTTCACTGAACAGCATCTTTGACTAACTCTCCGTGCTATCCGCAGACCTCATCTAGACCCCGCGCCGATGTTGGTGGCAGCTTTGCGAGTCGACGCGGTCATGCGAGCCAGCTGTCAATCTCAGACCCCAGCCACCATGTGACCGAGACCATTGGAACCCTGTACGGCGACGAGGAGTACGACAGCGATGGCCGACCCATCAGCTACCTCGGCCAGTCCTACACCGACCAGCTGAACAACAAATTCGAATCCGATCACCCCGACGAGGATCCTCGTAGGCAGATGATCCGTTCGGCTTCTGACAAGACGGGCTTGGGCATGGCACAAAATGGCTCGACGACTCTCAAACATTCACAAACTTTGCCAACGCGGTCGCCTAGTCAGCGAAGCATGTCCTTCGAGAACGGTCCTAAATCGCCGCCAATCTCCCTACGGGATGTCAAGAACGAGTCTTCTCAATTTCCTCTAGGCAGCATCGAGAACCCGAACGACATTGCGCAGGAACTCAACAACTTGCAGGCCCTGCGGCGCATGTCTATGGACGTCGGGAACAATGCTGACCCTGATATGCTACCCTTTTCCGGCTTGTCCCTAGTCGCCATGCCTCCTATCGCACCAACAGGGGATGACGACGAAAATGACCCCTCGAGGTTACTCTGGGTCCCTGCGGCAGTCCATCCCGAGCTGGCGCCGACCGAATTCAAGACATTCTTGGAGGACCGTGTCAAGACTATCCGGCGACGATCGGGCGACTCCAGCGAAGGTGGTATGGGCCGCAGCGATTCTGGCGGCGGCTTGCGAAGGAAGAAGAGCATGCTCTCACGGCAAATCGATAATTCTGGGGGAAGAGGTGCCGTTGGTTACATAG